AATGAAAATATTTCTCGTAAAATAATTATTTCAACCAAGACAAAGCGATTTTGTTTTGGAAAATATCTTTCAAATCATCCATTTTTCGCGAAACAAATGGAGTGTGAATATAAATTGTTTTTCGCATTTCTTGGCTGAGTTATACACATAATGTTGTTCGTATTCTTTCTAATATTTAGTAGATTTATAATTATAATTGGTAGATTTATCAGGCTATAGAAACAAAAATTCACAGAAAAACCGATTCTACTCCTCAAGAGGTGATCTTTATTGTATTTTAAGCACTTGAAATGGTAAAATCCACGAGGAAGCGTACAGACTGAAAAAAGATGGGACACTAACTATGGTAAAATTGATGTTTGCATAGACTTTTGTATTGGTCGGTCTTTAAGAATATGTGAAAAATCGGGGGCATACCGGTCGTATGATCTGCAGTTTTCCTTTTTATTTTGCATTTGAAGTAGCTACTCTTTGTAGGGCAATCATTTTGAATTTTTAGAAGGTATTTACCTGCATTTACATTAACATAGATTGCTCGTTGCTTCCAAGTTACAACCATATACGTTGGACTGGCCGTAATCACCAGAGTACAATCTATATTTGAGTTTTCAGTTAATGCTTTGACGCCGACTGTGTTCAGACCGTGCTAAGTCTTATCTGATGCTAGTAATCCTCTTCCTTTGCACAGCAAAATCCAGCGACTACTTGATTTCTTAATCTAAACATGAGGAAACCGGCGCAATTCGGTTGTCAAAACCAACTACTTACTGAATAAAATTGAAGAAGGCTTTGAGAATTAAAGAACATGGTAAGTACATCTGTATTTTTCTGTTCAGACACGCCTATGTTAGTGTGTAATAAAAGTCCCACATTGACATAACGGTGAAGAGAAAGAAGGGTGATTGAATCTCGTGAGAAAGTGCGGAAGAAGGTTTGCTGACACCGTGATGATTCTTGGTCCTGACAGGCCAAATCCCTTGAAATAGATTTGGAAGGAGATTGGGTTTGCCATATGGTTGAGGAGGAGCTGATTCCAAATTTGAGCTGAGTTGCAATCATTTGGTCCTTCTGCAGAAACGGCGCTGAGTGTAATTAAAGATTTTCAAAAGGGTTTCTGGAGAAAGTTTTGGGAAAGCAAAGAAATCAGGTTGCCTTTTGGATTTTGGTTGAGGCCTGAAGTGACTGCGTCCGCGTTGAGCGAGCACTGTCGAATTGCAAATTTTGGATCCAATCTCAGGTTGTTCTGCAAATGTTGTGGAAATTGATCCTGGTGCTCGAGATTGCGGATGGGTTCTTGGTCTAAGATATGGAAGTAAAAGCGTGTTGTTTATCTGTTTTGGTGGGGTCTTAGATTGCTCAGAGCAGCAATGGATGCTATATGCTTCTGATTCAGAGAAAAGAGAACTGCAGATTGTAGTTATGTGCTATGATGCCCCTGAGAAAAATGGATCAGAAGAAGGATCCGCCGAAGCAATTGTCAGTGAAAAATCCAAAAACAAGAGAGGATATTGTCGACATCCGTTGTGCGGAAAGATCGATCAGCAGCGACAGTGCAAACTTGTAGCGGACTAGAGCAAAATCCTGGGATACCTGAAAGTTGTGACTTCAAGGAAGATTACACTGACTATCTGGATCTTGTACCGAATGTGTATATTCGGTGTTGCTAGGTGGTGACTTATATTTTAATATGCAATATGGTAAGTACCTAAGCAGCATTAAACTAGCAAGTCCCACATTGACATGACAGTGAAGAGAGAGAAGGAAGAGAGAGAATTAGATGCAGCCTCATGATCATTTGCAACATACTTACCTGGACGGGGTCGATGGGCGATCAAGAAAGCCCATGGCCTAGGTTGGTGATCTCCATTGCACTCTTGGAGGGGCGCCCGCCTAAGGTCAGCCCAAGTTGGTTGAGCCTACGTCATAATTTGTGACAGCGGGGGCCTGCGTTCGCGCGGCCCCTACCAATTCATAGTCCAAAAATGTAGCTTTTGAAATGTATAGCCTAGTTAACTGCTTGTTCAATTCGACAAAGCTTTTTAAACACAACAAAGTCAGCAGAATCTGAAATGGTTGAATGATTGCATCAGTTTCTTAGCAGCAGTGTCAATAATTCAGAATATCAACTCGCGATACACACCAATTCTGCCTAGACTAAGTAAATGATCGTGGCCGGTTATTGGAACAGATTACTTCCTCTAATGCAATGCATCTATTCGGTTTCTTATTTCCATTAACAGTCCGGCTAACATCTTCTTTGGTTCCGATTCTATATAGACATAATGCTAGGAGCGAGAGATCAGATCATATTCTGGAATTCAAGTTTGGGACAAGCTTTCTGAGTCTAACTTGAGTCCTGTATGTATGGAAGAAATACAATGATCAAACGGGGCAAGTCCCTGAACAAAATAAAGGTATACACCGTTAATTAAGGCCCATGTCCTAGATCGACAGCCTCTGGGGTGGCGCATTGGCTAAGGTCTGCTTGTTGAAGTGGAGCTTGAGTCATGATTTGTGGTAGCGGGGGCCTTTGTTCGCGCATTGGCTAACTCAACTTCAAAATGGTCATATGCAAGACCCATTTCGCTTGCTGTTTGTATTAGGTGATTTTGCTACCACAAAATTTAGATGGATTGTTTATTCCATTGTGCAAAAAAGTTTAGTTTGAGAAATTGTCGTGCCACGGCGAGAGTGAAATTTTGTGAGTTAATGGCTTGATTGTGCAACGTCCATAAGAATGACTCAAACATTGTTTAAAGTGACGGCAATGGCCTCCGCTCGTGCCAATATCAAGCCAGAGTTGGTTCTCAAGACATATTCTTTATGCAGCTGGGTCGTGGAAGATTGTAACCTCGTGCTAACATTATGTCTTGGTCAAGAAGTTGCTCCAGTTTGTGCGGCGGACAGTAGCCTAAGGACTTAGAGCCTGATGAAGTTGTGGAACAAGATATACGGACCAGGGTGTAATTATAATTGGTAGATTTTCCAGGCTATAGAAACAGAAATTCAGAGAGAAACCAATTCTACTCCTCAAGAGTTGATCTTGTGGAGAGGTTGTAGTGGTAAAATCCACGAGGAAGTGTACAGACCGAAAAAAGAAGCGACAGTAATTGTACTGAAACCGATATCTGCTATAGACATTTGTATTGGTCAGCCTATAAGAATATGCGAAAATCTAGGGCATACAGGTTGTATAATTGATAGATTTTCGTTTTATTTTGCATTTGAAGTAACAACTCTTTCTAGGACAATTATTTTGAGTTATTTTCCTGCATTTACAATAACATCAATTGATTATTGCTTTCGAGTTTCAACTATGTACATTGGCCTGACCATAATCACAAGATTACAATCCATATTTGAGTTTTCAGTTGATGCTTTGATGCCAACAGCATTCAGGGTCTTCGGACCATGCTAACTCTTATATGATGCTTTTATTCCTTTTGATTTCCATAAGCAAAAAATAGTGACTACTTGACTTCTTAACTAAACATGAGAATCCGACCACGAAAAAAAACCTAAACATGAGAAAACCGGCGCAATTGGTTTTGTCAAAATTAACTGCTTACTGAATAAACTTGAGGAAGGCTTTGAGAATTAAAGAACATAGGTACATCTGCATTTTTCTGTTAAGACATGCCTATGTGAGTGCGTAATAAAAGTCCCACATTGACATGACGGTTAAGAGAGAGAAGGAAGAGCGAGAATTAGAAGCAGCCTCCCAACCATTGGCAACATACTTACCTGGACGGGGTCGATGGGCGATCAAGAAGGCCCATGGCCTAGGTTGGCAACCTCCATTGCACTCTCGGAGGGGCGCCCGCCTAAGGTCAGCCCAAGTTGGTTGAGCCTACGTCATAATTTGTGGCAGCGGGGGCCTGCGTTCGCGCGGCCCCTACCATTTCATAGTCCCAAGGTAGCTTTTGTCATATGCTGTGAAGATTCCGCCAGTGAGTGATTTGATGATCATTGCCTATTCCGTGCCCCATCCTTGTCAAGAGGCGGAAGTGCGTTGGGTCTGAGTAACTGCTTGAAGCACCAGAAAGCATGCTCAAGCAGTGAAATTGTTAATTTGACAAAGCTTTTTAAGCTTCGCTGCATAACAAATTCTGTAGAATCTGAAATCGCATAACAAAGTCTGTAGAATCTGAAATCGCTGAATGAGCGCTTCAGTTTCTTAGCAGCAGTGTCAATAAATCGGAATATCAACTTGTGGTACACACCAATTCCGCCTAGACTCCCAAGTAATAAATGACGGTGGCCGATGGGTGATCAACAAGGCCCATGTCCTAGATTGACAGCCTCCTGCGTGGCGCATCGGCTAACGTCTGCTCATTGAAGTGGACCCTACGTCACGATTTGTGGTGGCGGGGGCCTTCGTATGTGCAGAAAATTTGGAGAGGCCTTCCATTTGCATCAAAAGGATTTTGATGAGAAGGATATTGAGAAAGGGCAACGAGCACTCAAAGAAGTGAGTTACTTAAATGGATGGGAATCCGAGAAAATTGCTAACGGGTACTTTACTTCAACCTGATTTTTTTCTTATAAGTAACTTTTCTTATTCACGCAAATACGGTGAAGTATGGATGAACTACTTTCAGTACAAGCTCCGAAAGGATCCCAAAGTGTCCCAATGAACGACAAAAACTAGTACTCTCCAAGGTGTCCCCTGAAAACTAAACCAATAACAACTAAAACCAAAGAATCCCATAGTGCGCAAGAATTTTAGAATTGTCTCCGGTACAGAGCACAAAACAAAGACACGACAAGCCCTCCGCCCAATAGCATCAATCACTTTACAATATGCCCCCAAAAGACTCCAATGCTCAGTCTTCCAAAGCTTGAACCACAAGATAAAAATGACCTATTGCCCACATGGGGTTGGATAAGTTGATAAGGATCAAACACTTGGCATGTGTAGGTTTAATTTCTCATTTTTTTTTTCGTTGTTCGACAGGCATGAGGGAGAATTGATAAAGCTTGTGGTCGAAACGGTTCTAAGCGAGTTACGGAAACATTTTCAGCTAGATGTTCCTAAGCAACTAGTTGGACTTGATGGTCATCTGAAGGAAATTATGAATTGGATAGACAGTCCTTCCGTCAATGCTCGAATGCTTGGAATTTATGGCATGGGCGGGATAGGCAAGACCACTCTTGCCAAGTGCATTTACAATAAACTTTTGAAAAAATTTGTGCATGCCAGCTTCCTTCCAGATATTCGAGAAACTACTCGTCGCCACGGTATTGAGTATCTACAGAGCCAACTAATATCTGATATATTACAGAGCCAAAATAAAGTATCTAAATTTGATGATGGAATTAACATAATCAAATCTAGATTCAAAGGAAAAAAGGTTCTCATTATTTTGGATGATATAGATCAGAAGGATCAACTAAATGCTTTGGCCAGAGAACGTAACTGGTTTACTTCGGGAAGTATTATCATTGTCACAACTAGAAATAAAGCTGTTTTTGATCAATCTGAATTCGAGGTAGACAACAAGTATGAATTGAATGAAATAGAGGAGAATCATTCTTTGCTTTTATTTAGCAGTCATGCATTTCGCATGGACAATCCTCCAAGGGAGTTTGAGGATATCTCTCATAATATCATATCCACCATGGGTGGCCTTCCTTTGGCTCTTGAGGTTATAGGTTCATACTTGTATGGTAAAACAGATCCAAAAGTATGGGAGGATATGTGGAGGAAATTAAAAAAAGAGCAGCATAGAGATGTTAAAAAGATATTGAAAATAAGTTATGACGCATTAGAAAATGCACATAAGGAGATTTTTCTCGATATTGCTTGTTTCTTTATTGGCAAAGAGAGCAAATTCGCCATTTACATGTGGGAGGACTGTGGGTTTTATGCAAGTCTAGGAATTGAAGAGTTGAAGCTGAGGTGCTTAATAAAAATTGACAATTATGGTGAGTTAAGGATGCATGATCAACTGAGAGATCTTGGAAGGAACATTGTTCAAGAAGAAGGACCGCCTGAGAGACGTAGTAGGTTATGGCTCTATGAGGAAGCCTTCGAAGTACTAATGGGAGAAAATGTAACATATGTCACTCCTTTTTCTTTTCCTCTCCCTCATATTTTCATTTATTTAATTTGATCTACTCTAATCAGAAATGCTCCTACATGTTAGGAAAAAATTTCATTCATGATTCATGTCCATCATAGAGTAATTGTGACTGCTAATTTTATTAAACATGCAAGGATGAAAAAGCTATATTATCTCGTGTGGTTACCAAATAGAATGTCATTCAAATTCATTGATGTAAGTTATATCTGTCAAAAATTTAATTTACAATAAATTTAATATCACTTAAATGCGATTCCACCGTAAAAATCCCATTTATTAAAAGTATGTAATTTTCATATTTTGTTGAAATCTTGATAATCTGAAAGACTATAATAAAAATTAGAGATGAAGTATAAACATTAGAGATCAAATAAATGAAGATTTCTTCATCCAAGATAATTATAGATAATAGGTGCCAATTATAATAACTAATAATCAGACAAAACATCACCATAGAAAAAAAGTGTCAAATTTTACACTTATCACGTGTGCTTGTTTTCTGGTATGGCCGAATTTATTGTGGTGCTCCTATGATGTAGGAAACCAATGTTTGATATGTTGTTTCTCCGTTTTGATTTTGAAGATATCCGCCCCTCCCTCTATTAATTATATTTATCTTCTTTCAATCTTCTTTCCTCTTAATAGATACAATAGCAAAATCCCCCTTAGAATTAAATTAAGAAAATCTTGATATTGTTTTTAAGGTAGTACAACGTTAGCCTTGTTCATCTCATAGACCAGGTTAGGTGTATAATAAAGAGTGAATTTTTTATTTCTTTTTCTTTGTTTCTTTCGTTGCCATTGCCTTCTCAATTTTCTTAATGAACATTTTCGTTGCCATTGCCATTGCCCTCGCCCAAACGCTACCCCAAAATCCTACACTAATCCCTTCCCCCTCCGCCCCCCCTTCCTCTCTTCCTCCATTCTCCTCACTCACCTCGCATCACTATTTAGTTGAATGACAAAACTTAAGATAAAGAGGGAATGTTTGGATACAAGTCGATATGAAATGACAAAACTTAAGATGTGAGTCGTAGATTTCAAAAGTAATGATGGTATTTTATATATAAGTGCAAACTTCATTTAGCTTTTTGTAATCATCTTTAAACGGAAAGACAACACATATTAGAACTGACTGTCTCTTAGTATTTTCTTATTTTGAATTAAGTACACACACCAGTCTTACATAGTAGCCCTCACTTGATTTTCATTCAATTTTTTCATTGACGAGAATGCCTACCAACTTGCCTTGAGAACTGTCAAACAAAAGCTAGGTTGATCGATTGCTCTGAACTTAAGGCGATTAGACAGATCAACCGAGATCGTTCCTCACTCAAGCCCAAATTAAGTGCCTAAATGAGGCTTGGATGGAGTGCAAATTACACTGATTTAAATGCGAGAAAATGTAAAATGGATTGGAATTAAAATGCAAGAAAATGAAAAGACATAAAATTACATGAAACGAAAGGTGTGAACAAAAATAACAAGGAAAATAAAAGATAGATTTCTCGGAGAAGTGTTGTGTTTGTGCGTGTCTGATTTTGCCTTTTGAACGCTTCTCTTATATTAATGCCTCTCGTCCACGGGAAAATTACCAAAAAGTTCTAAACCTATTACAATTATACTAGTTCAGTCCTAAACTTTTATTTTTGTGCCAATTGAGTCTAAACCTTTTGTATTTGTGTCAATTCAGTCCATTTGATCAATTTTGGCCGAAAATTACTGACATAGATACCGGCCGTTCTACGTGGCTTGGCCGGTACTAACGTAGACAATTTTTAAAATAAATTTTCAATTATTTCTTTTTTTTCTTTTTCCTTTTCTTTTCTTTCTCTTTCTTTCTTTTTCTTCCCTTCTTCCTTTAGTTGGCGAGGTGGCAAAGCTCGACCCCACCGGCCATTGGCAACGGTGAGCCTTGCCCTTGCTGGCTACTAGCGAGGGCAAGCCTCGCCCACCCTTGGCGAGGTCGAGCCTTGCCCAGCCATGGCGAGCCCGCCCCGCCAGCCACTAGTGAGGTGAGGCTCAACCCTCACAAGCTCGGCGATGGCAAGCCTTTCCCAACTATGGTGAGGCTGACCTGGCGATGCTCAACCCTTGCCAAGGGCAAGCAAGTTCGACCTTGCCAAATGACAGTGAGGTCGAGCCTCACTAGTGGCCAGCCGAGGGGGGGGGAGCTTTTCCAAAGGCCAATGAGGCCGACCTTGCCTACCCTCGCCTCTGGCCAGTCGTCAAGGTCCGGTGACTAGCTAGAGGAAAAAGGGAAGGAAAAAAAATAGAAAGAGAAAGAAAAGAAAAAAAAATAAAAAATAAAAAATTTGAAAAAAATATTAAAATATTATTAAAAAATGTCCTTGTTAGCGCCACCATGCTAAGTAGGACGGTAGGCATGCATGTTAGTGATTGCTGTTCAAATTTGATCGGATGGACTGAATTGACATAAATGCAAAAGGTTTAGGATTTAATTGGCAAAAACACAATTTATGATTGAATTGGCATAATTGTAATAGGTTTAGGACATTTTTTGTAATTTTTCCCTTGTCCACCGTTAGGTTTCTTATCACCTTATCAAATTGTGTGCTGAGAAGATTACAATTGGAAAACGTTCAAAGCTTGTTCACGATGCAATTTCACCACAAGGCTTGTGGCCTCATCTTCGCTGCAAAGCCTCCTCTTCCTCCTCCAAGGGCCCGTTTGGTTCGGCTTTTCAAATGCTGTTTGGGGGAATGCAAATACCTTTAGGTGAAAGTCACTTGGGAAAATGCAAGTGGTGTTTGGTAAAAAAAAAAATTTGTGAAGCTACTTTGACCTAAGTAGTGTTTGGTAAAAAAAATTTTGCAAAGGGCTTTGACAACTTTTATTTTTAATATTCCGGTTTTGCCCCTATTACTGTTCATCTTCTTGGCCGGCGAAGGTGGCCGGCGAGGTCGCTCGACCCAGGCGATGGCCTCCTGGTGTTGGGCGACCGCCCAAGAGCCGTCGCCTGGGTCGCGCGACCTCAGGCGACGTCGGCCTGGGTCGCGACCCAGGCGACGGCGCCTGAGCGGTCGCCCGACACCAGGCGGCCGTCGCCTGGGTCGGGCGACCTCGCCGGCCCTTCGCCGGCCAGATCCGCCCTGGCCAGCCCCTCGCCTGCCCTTCGCCGGCTAGATCCGCCCTCGCCGGCCACTCTCGCGGTGAGGAAGATGAACAGTAACATGGGCAAAACATGAATATTGAAATTTGAGTGAGGACAATTTGGGAAGGGAAAAATTGGCTTCAACATTCCAAATGCTAGCTTTCGGCTTTTCGGACTCGAAAAGCTGAACCAAACGGGGCCCAAGTCCGAAGAGGTGGTCCCATCTTCGCCCATCTTTGGATTTCAAGGTCCTGAGCTGCGGCGACGAGAATTGAGCATCATGAAGGCGAACGAGAGAGCTCCGCTTCTCCGTGGAGAAGACAGAGCTTTTCTCTTTTAGCTCTAGGGAGTGAGTTTTGTTTCATCTCACCGCACCCGTACACAAACACAAGAACATTTAGAAAATTTCTTTTTATTTTATTGTTTTTTTTTCTTTTGCCCTTTTACTTATCACACGAGGAAACACGAAACTGTCTCTCCAAGACAACCCCTCAACGCGTAATTCTTCTTCTCTTCCGAAACCCGACCAAACCCACCTTCCAATTTCTTTGACTTACTCAGATCCACACCTCTTTTTACGTAAAACCAAACTCTTCTTCCAGTTTTCTATCTAAAATCATGATTTTCTGCTTCATTTATTTTGTTTACATCAATTTATGGATTCTTGAATCAGTTCTTGGTTGAATGCTGTGAAAATAACAGAGAAGAGTGTTTTTGGGAGAAAGAGAGAGACGGAGGGAGTTTTACCCAACTTTACATTAAGCATAGTTCACTTTGCCACGTTGGACGGTAATTTTTCACATTGGACTTCAATTTCTTTTGAAAAAGCCACATCATGGCCAAATTTTAATTTAAAAAACCACGTAGGACAACTCATTGGAAATTATTGCTGGAGGTACTCAAGTGATCATTTTTCCATCAATGTGACACTTAAGTGGTTGCTCGAAAGTTTTAGCACTGGAGTGAGCATTGTACCAAAATTATGACACTTTCAGTTTCCCTTTTTTTTTTCAAATTTTGTGCGTTTGAAATTAATGCTCTAGCTTTTAAAATTCTGAACCTTGAACATTATTGAACACTGTCCCTGATCAACTACACTTCTAGGGAAAAAAATATGAGTATTGTAAATTAAAGTCATCAAAGCCATATGGGATTTTTTCACCGTCTTGTACTAATTAATGATCTATTTTATCAGGAAAGTAAAACAGTATGTTTTGACTTACAAGATGCAACAAGTAAGGGTGCCAATCTTATGCAAATGGACATATGTATCTTCACTTTTTTTCTTGTTTGGTAAACAAAAATAAGTATATTTCTTCAGAAACTTTCATATCGACAACCTATTGTCCCATATGTTAGAAACCTCAATCCAACCATAATACCACGAAAGGAATTTAAGTACTTCATTTTTAGTTGGTCTGAAAGCAACTTTTTTCCAATCCTTGCCAAGATCTTAAATACTATTCAAATTATAAAAGATGTATTGCTAACGAATGTCATCACGTCACTTTTTACACATATTTTACAAGAAAAGTTGCAATTTCAAAAGCAATGATTAAACACTTCACAAGAGTAGTTAATGAATTGAAAGTAGGGTGCTCCATTAGCGACTTAACAAGTGACCCATGGGCAGTTTTTAACAATTTCTTTAAAAAATTATGAAAATTCATATGAAACTTTATAAGTCAGCGTTTGCATGTTTTTAAAGGTTCATGTACTGCGCTTATATAAGTCAAAGCACATGCGCTACAAAATTCGAAAAAAGTAAAAGATAATATCTTGAGGTGCGTTTGTCATAGAATTTTCTAAAGCAAGATGTATTCTATTTATATTAATGATTATAAAAAATTAAGTTGGAGTTTAGGTGTCAATATTTATATAATGAGGATAGAAAGATGACAAATTGTGAGCGTCCAAGATCTTACAAAGCAAAGACTAAAAAATTAAAAACTAATTTGGACACTCGATTGATTGATTTGATATACAGGGAACAAAAAGGATCCAAGCAATTTGTCTCAGGAAAGACTTTGGCCGTCTCCAGACATACACCAGTAAACAGTTCAAAAACTTACGGAGCATAAGGTTCCTTCAAATGGGACGGGTGGCTTTAATTGGAAACTTTAACAAAGTTTTTTCTGAATTAAGATGGCTTCACTGGTTTGGCATTGAAGAAACGGAAATATTGACAACCATTTTGCATCTACCAAAATTAGTAGTGCTACAGTTGCCAAACAGCAAGATCACAGAGGATTGGAGAGGATGGAGTTCAATCATGGTACGATGGAAAAAAGACATCCTCTGTGATATTTTGTTTGTTTTGTTTTGTAGATCAACTAATTGTTTGACTGCTTATTCTCCTTTGTATAGGCGGCAAAGCAGCTAAAAATTCTCGACCTTACATCTTGCGGTTGTTTAAGATGTACTCCTGATCTATCCGCTTTCACAAAATTGGAGATTCTCATCTTGAGTGACTGTCACATGTTGGAGCAAGTCCACCCTTCTATTGGCAAACTCAAGAACCTTGTTTCCTTGGACTTGGGTGGGTGTTCCAGCCTCAAGGAGCTACCTGGAGAAGTAGGCGAATTAGAAGAACTAAAAGAACTTAATTTACGCGATAGTGGTATTACAAAGATACCTACGTCAATCGATTCTTTGAAGAAGCTGGAGAAACTGATTGTTTGTTGGTCATTGAGAGAAATCCCCAGCTCGATTGGGAATCTTTCTTCTCTCCAACACCTTAACCTAGAGAACTGTTCAGTATTGATAGAACTCCCTAGCTCAATTGGGAATCTATCTTCTCTCCAACACCTTAACCTAGCGTATTGTCATTCATTGATAAAACTCCCTAGCTCGATTGGGAATCTATCTTCTCTCCAACACCTTAACCTAGAGGATTGTGACTCATTGAGACAACTCCCTCGCTTGATTGGGAATCTTTCTTCTCTCCAACACCTTAACCTAACGGATTGTGTGTCATTGATAGAACTCCCTAGCTCGATTGGGATTCTTTCTTCTCTCCAACACCTTAACCTAGTGGGTTGTGAGTCGTTGAGACAACTCCCCAGCTCGATTTGGAATCTTTCTTCTCTCCAACACCTTTTCCTATGGGGTTGTAAGTCATTGAGAGAACTCCCTAGCGTGATTGGGAATCTTTCTTCTCTCCCACGCCTTGATCTAGAGGGTTTATCATTGGGAGAACTTCCTAGCTCGATTGGGAATCTTTCTTCTCTCACATACCTTAACCTAAGGAATTGTCGATCCTTGGGAAAAATCCCTAGTTCGATTGGGAATCTTTCTTCTCTCCAACACCTTATCCTAGAGGGCTGTGAGTCATTGAGAGAACTCCCTAGCTCGATTGGGAATCTTTCTTCTCTCCAATACCTTGACCTAAAGGATTGTTGGTCATTGAGAGAAATCCCTAGCTCAATGGGGAATCTTTTTTCTCTCCAACACTTAGAACTATGGCGTTGTCGCTCATTGAGAGACATTCCTAACTCGATTGGGAATTTACAAAATTTGCAATGTCTAGACATTAGTTATTCCACGATTGAACATTTGCTCAGTGGTATTGGCAGGTTGAAAAATCTGCGGAGGCTAATTCTCAAATTTTGTCGTAATCTGAGAAGGAAAATTCCAAGTGAAATCGGTGACTTGTCTTCGCTCGAGATTCTCGAAATCACTCACGCTCCGATATATAACCTACCAGAAAGCATCCAGAATCTTTCTTCTCTCCAACAACTTAACCTATGGGGCTGTAGCAAGCTCCGGTCATTGCCAGCGCCTCCTTCTAGCTCAACACATTTGACAGTCTCTTGCCACAGTTCCAGGTTGCCACAACTTTCCCACCTAATCCACCTTGAAGAACTTCGTCTTAAGGAATGCGATCTACTTGAAAACATCCTAGAGCTTCCCTCAAGACCCTTAAGACTTTATGTTGACTCATGTCATAAGCTGATGCCTAAGCTTGACGGATTCAAGTACTTGGAAGTGTTGTCAATAGTCAGATGCACTTCCATTGAAAGATTGGACATTTCACAATTAAATCGTCTGAAACGATTACACATTGAGTGTTGTGATAATCTAGTTGAAATTCAGGGCCATGATAATTTGGAGTGCTTGGAGACGATAGTTATACGTTACTGTAGGTCAATTCAAAGCCTGATCCTTCAAGAATTACAATGTTTGAAGCTATTAAAGGCTAACTTTTGTGGCAATCTAGTCGAAATTCAAGGTCTTAATAGGGCGGAGTTCTTAGAGGTGTTGGATATCTCTAATTGTGGGTCCATTGAAAGATTACCTCACCTATCATCTTTCGCAACCCTGAAAACATTGAAAACCGATGGGTGTTACAATTTACGTGATGTTGACAACTCCACTGAAGCATGTACATAAGGGGTACAAATCCCTTGAAAAACTACCAAACCTGTCGAAATTTGAAAATTTAGAATATTTCATGATGAGGTATCTTCTTTGTGGTACGGAGATCCTGGGAATGAGAAATCAAAATCTCTAAAACACAGATATTGCAGGATGCGAATTAGTGCAGACTTTGCTAGATTTATCAGGGTGTGAGAAGTTGAAATATCTAGCGGTACAAGACTACAAGAAACTTAGTCAGCTACCGGGACTTGAAAAGTTGGATTCTAACTTTTTTGGATATTTGGGGGGACGACTCATTGGAAACGATACCGGACTTACCAGAACAAAGGTCATTAGAAATTGTGGAAGGGTGAATATGGAGGTTACTTTGGAGATATTATATTGCAGTGATAATGATGTGATGAATCTAAGACCCATATCACAATTGTTAGACGAGTCATGTTTCCTTAACAAGGTAAATAAGCAGAAAACTATCATTTTTCTTATGAGATTTTTTTTTGGTCAACTTTTTTCTTCTGAGATTCATGACCTACTTTTCATCACTATCTTCTTTTGACGAAAAGGTTTTCCTTGACAGGTTCCGTACTTTCCTAAACTCCTAGTCTTACATATTTGAAGGAGTGGGGGACTTGGTCGTAGGAACATAATTGATGCTTCGGCCAAGATCAAAATGTAGACCCAAATGTGGGTCTACGTATAGTAGAAGGCATTGGTCATCTAGTAAGATTCTTCATCCTTGAACAACTAACATGAGCGAATAGAGTAGTACTTTTCTCGAAGCTATACTTTTCTCATAACGGGAAAAGTGTCAAAAAAGTCTTAAACATTTTATATTGATGCCAATTGAGTCATAAACCTTTTGTTTTTGTGCTAATTCAGTTCTTCCAACTAATTTGGGCTGGATTTTGTTGACGTGGACGCCGGTCGACCAGCCACCAGCTGCAGGCACTGACGTTGACAACTTTTAATAATATTTTAATATTTTTTGAATTTTTATTTTTTTTTTCCTTTTTTTTTTCCTCTCCTCCCCTTCCTCCAGCCTATCGCTGGACCGACCAAAGGAAGGAGTCAATTGAGTCAGAAAAGTTCTAAACCTTTTACATTGATGCCAATTGAGTCATAAACCTGTTTTTGTTGCCAATTGAGTCCCAGGCCTTTTATATTTGTGCCAATTGAGTCCTAAGCCTTTTGTCTTTATGCCAATTCAGTCATTCCAGCTAATTTTGGCAGGATTTTGCTGACGTGGACGCTGGTCGGCCTATTAGCACCAATGCAAAAGGTTTAGGATTTTTCTAACACTTTCCCCTTTTTATAACCAATAGTCAAACTGTTGTTTTGAAAGATAATCAAGCAAGGTAAATTGGGGCTGCTTTTGTAACAGGTCTGGTTGGTCGAGGTTATCATCAAAGGATTACTTTTGGACCTTGATTCAATGAGCTATATCGATGACCTTTTGCATAATTACGACAAATTTTTGCCCGTTCTACGAAACAAGCTGAAGCAAGGAGCTCAAGAGTTTGATAATGAGTTTGCATCCTGTTTGATCCTATTGTTGTCACGGAATCATTTTATCACATGATTGATTTGGGTCTAGCTAACTTGGCCGAGGAAGTTCAAATTCCATACCAGAGATTGATCAATATGCAGATGAGGGATTTTTGCAGAGGAAAGCATCAACAACAGTTAAGGGCCATCTCCTTACCCAAAAAAAAAAAAAAACAGTTAAGGGCCATCTTGCGTGCCAACCTTGAAGAGGCTTGTGGGACAGCTGGAGTGCCCTGAGGAAGTTTTGATGCTTGTGAAGATCCAACCACTTGATATGGTCTCAACAGCACGTGCGTGAATGATTCTGAATGTAGTTTTTTTCCATTGAATCTACTCTTGGTATGCTCATTAGGTTCTACCTCTTTGTCGATCAAGTACGTACCTGCTGATTTTTCTGTATGTTACCATAATGTGGAGTTGTTTGATGCGGTCGCATTCTAATGATATCACTCCGGAGCTCAATGAGGCTCTGCAGAGGGAGAAATGCATTGCCAGTCATACCTTGACTACGAAAAAGTAACTTGTTTGCTTATTCCTTATGAGCTGTGGAACTTCACCAGAAAATCAGTATAGAAGGATGCATGATGACTATCTCCTTCATTTTCTATCAGCTTATTAGTGTGATAATATCTTTTGCATGTTATTCGAATAGGTTTCTAATTTGATAAACTCAGTTCTCACGTATCCAGATTTGAATTTGTAAAGTTGAAATTCGCCTCCTAGCAAACCTTTCTGTATTGCTGATTTTGCTAACTGGATATTGGGAAATAACCAAGTAACAAGTGACATGTTTCTATTCTGTAGTTTAGGCACTTCACCTTTTCAGCATAATCTAATTGACGTCAGTTGTGTTCCTAAACACAAGAAAGGAAAGTGTTGCTAATCTCTTACATCTCCCAAGTCTGTTGTTTTCTTTATCATCCGCCAGCTAATGAATTCTCTGTTGATTGCGGTCCAACTGCTAACTAATCAGAGACACCTCGAATGTGTGGCAAAATATATCCCCAGATTTTGGGGTTGGTGCAAACGATGTTTAGGCATTTGTACCTTATCTTTCATGGGGAAATTGTGTTGGTAGGATTTCAAGTATCTGGATTTATTGATAACTAGTCAATCCTATCCTTCTTGTGTAGATTCAAGCTCAATATAATGAGATATGGAGAAAGTCCCCAAACACAACAGGATGGAGATGCAGCATATACGGCATCATGGAAAGGTGTTTCAAAGTTCTTTGCTATTGGCATTTATCATGTGCTCCATGTTGTTAATACTCTTCATAGGATTCTTGATATAAAGCGACCTCTTCTCATGTAGTGTAGTAGTCCTTTGCAAGCTTTGACATCTTGCTATTCTTTAGCAAAGGCCAAAACTCCAAATGCTTGCATGAAGACCGCATGTGCAGGTGGTTCTGTAAGTGAAGTAAAGCATAAAATCAAATTTGTTAACAAGATTACCATTTAGACATCCACTTCAAGCTATTAGTTTGTGACTAGAGAGAAACTTTTTCGTTGAAAAAGTGAATGTTGTGGAATCAACAAATAATCTGTCAATTGCAGCCTAGAGGTTCAATGAAAACATTTCTAAGAAGACAGTAGTTTATCATGCATAGGAATTTTGGACGCAAAACAGAAGTGTTCATTTGTGTATAATCATCTCTCTGATCCGATTATGTTGGAAATTCATATATTGGATTTGGCAATCACTTTGTTCATATAATCTCAAACTTGATTCATTTACCACATGATTCTATAAAGCAGAAGAGACAGCCATACTTTTTTCATACCTGAAACCAAATTTTCTTTGGGGTTGGCTACAATTTAAAGACTGATAGAAAATGCTAGAGAAAATTTTTGGAGGGTGAAAATAGCGCTTCCAAATCTAGTCATTTGGTTTGAACCAAAACTTTGAAGTGGTTAATACTCGGACTCTTCTACGCCAAAATTGTGGTCACCACCATGCATTCAAGTTTCAATCATAGCAATTTCTTTGGGGCCCTCTTGAGGTAAAGCACGAGTCAGCTTCAATTCCTCTCTCTCTCTGTCTCTCTCTCATGGCAAAGCAGAGACGTTACCCCGGAGTCTTCCTTTGGAAGCTCAGCGAGTGGTCCTCCATTTCTCTGCTGTGACCTCCTTCCTCTTCAGCGACAGTTTCATTAACGGCTAGTTTTAGCAAATGTAGTACTACTTTTCTCAAAGCAATATTCTTTTAAAAGAAAAATCTGCTCCACACTGGGTATCTATATGATTGATTTTAGAAACTCCGGATTTGCCTATGTATACTTGCTGTTGATTACATTGTAGCAATGTTTTGTCATTTATCCCTCCATTGGCTGCTTTTGCAGACTGCAAACAGATTTTGCGGCTTGTGAGGCAAGGAAAATATCAGCATAGGTTACCTAGTGATTTACTCTTGGGAAATCGAGGATTTGAATTTTTTTTATATAGAGGCTGATGATGTTCTGCTACTCAATATTGTAAACTGCACCCAGAATCCATTTTTCACTCTGTCCAAAATTAATATTACCTTTAAAAAATCCTTGGGCTGATGACGTTTTGCATAACTGGGACAATTATTTGCCTGTTTTGTGAGACAAGCTAGGCCGAGGAGCTAAGAATTTGCTTATTACTTAGCATCCCGTTTGATCCTATTGTTGTCCTGGAATTGTTTTATCACATGATTGATCTGGGTGTGGCTTAAGTGGCTGCGGAACTTCAAATTCCATACCAGAGACCAATCAAAATGAAGAAGAGGGATTTTGCAAAAGGAAGCATCAGCAAGAGCTGAGGGCCATCTTGCATGCTAACCTTCAAGAGGCTCATGGGCCAATTGAAGTGTCTTAGGAAGTTTTGGTGCTTGTGAAGATCCAAACAATTGATTTGGTCTCATCAGCACATACCTGAATGATTGTGCAGGTAGTTTTTTTTTTAATTGAATCTGCTTTCTGAATGCTCCCTAGGTTTTACCTCTGTTAATCAAATACATACCTGCTGATTTTTCTGTTTGTCACTCTGGTTTAGAGTTGTTTGATGCGCTTGTGTTCTAATGATATCACTCCCGGACTCAATGAGGCTCTGCAGAGGGAGGTATGCGCTGCCAGTTGTACCTTTACCATGAAAGACTAACTTGTGTGCTTATACTGTATGAGCTGTGGAATATCTTCTGAAAATCAGTATACAACACGATGACAATCTCCTTCATTTTCTATCAGTTTATTAGTGTGATAATATCCTTTGAATGTTGCCATATAGGCTTCAGATTTGATAAGCTCAGCTCTCATTTATGCGGCATTGAATTTGTCAAGTTCAAATTCGCCTCCTAACAAACTATGCCTTATTGCTGATTTTGCTAATTGGATGTTGCGAAATAACCGAGTAACAAGCTCATCTATCCGTTCTGTAGTTTAGGCAGTTCACTTTTTCAGCATAATCTTATTAACATCAGTTCTGTTCCTAAACACTAACAAGGAAAGTGTCACTAATTGCTTACTTCTCCCAAGTCTGGTTGTTTTCTTTTTCATCGGCCTGCTAATGAAGTCTCTGTTGATTGCAGTTCAACTGAGAACTAATTAGAGACACCTGGGATGCGTGGCAAGATATGTTTCCAGATTTTTCAAGTTCCTCCATTTTTAGAATTTGTAAGCCCAGCGTGTACTTTTTATGTGCTTCTCGTGTTTTGTATGGTATTTTGAAGCCGGATTGTGCAACTGAAATTTGCTTCCTTGCATATCTTGTGATGTCTGCGATGACCGTGACCGCTGAATGATGGTCGGAAATCAGAAGAGACTCACGGTTTGCCTATGACTTGCACAAGTTGGAACCCTGAATCTTCCCCGTGGGTTACTTGTCTGTGGAGTTTCTTGGTTTTTTTTTCACTAAACCTGTCTTAAAAATGTGAAACCTCCTCTGTTCTCTGGTATTAAAATAAGTGGGAATGACAGTTCATTCTCTGACCATATTTTTTGGGAGCATCCTCTTGCACCATTATTAATAGCAAATATATTTATTGTGCTAATTAAGAAGGAGCTATTTGATGTTCTTTTCCTTTCGTGCTTGTCCTCATCATAATGACATGCTTCAACATGTTTGTTTTGCGGAGGAGTTGAAATTGTTGTCAAGGCCCTCAGAGCTTATGCAGGTTAGTTCTTGCATTTTGCAAGTCATGTACATTGTAGGTTAAAGAGAGAATTCTGTAAGTCCGAGTTAGAGGGTAATAGGTCCTCTACTTGTACAATGGGTCTCTCTGTGATCACTTGTGTAAAACACGATATCATGAATAGAATAAGGGGAATTTAGATCCTTAAAATTACTCCTTGTGAGTAGAATTTGGAGCATGTTGCTCTCAGACTGAGTAATCCTCCAAATGATAGGTTTATAGCGACCATTCTGCCAATCGCTTCAAGATGTTTCCATTTAATGTCAAGAACCTGCTGTTGCACTTGGACTGGCAGTAGAATGATTTTCCCCAACTTTTATGCATAACCTAAAGATCCTTTCTTCTGTCACCATGTTGTTGAGCTCATTTTTCTCCTAACCCTTTGTTTTGCGATATCCTTCTAAGGTTCCTCCTGGATGATGTGTCTGGATCTAGATAAGGCATCTGTTGGAGGTGAACACGAATTCTTTTTCTCGTAGATAAGGTATCTTCTTGACTGTTTGAGATAGATACACATTATTCCAATTTTGCAGTCAATCCTTCTAATCTTATCTCTACCCATTCTGTATAGAACATGCAGGGCCACTAGAGTCTCCGTGGAGCCAATTTTCTTTGTGTCAGTCATCGTTGTGGCGATGACGATTGATTCTCATGAGTAGGTGAAGTTATGCTTTGCTTCGCTTTCAATCTATATTTTGGAACAAAACTTTCTCTGTCTAACCGCATTGCATTTGTCTCCAATGTTGAATTTATTTATGGAAGTACTTTACTCTTTCTCATTTTTGTGAAATTTTTGTCGTGAATCTTTGACAATGCAGTGTTGGTGGTGAAAGAAGATGGAAGTTGGAGCAGAATTTGCCATTGTTCAGAAGTTTTAATGTTTGCCAGTGACTTCAGGATATATATTTCACTGAGCTTAAAAATTGGAAAACTCCGGATGAAGCTCAGCTAGGGATCAATCTTGCTAGCTGAGCTTAAATTGCTCAAAGTCAGAAGAATTCTCTCGACTAAAGTCATTCTTTAATCTGCACTTCTTTGCTATTGCTGAGGACTTCATTTATTTTTGGAGGACCTACTATAGCAGTGGATGGCATATTTATATCATCACAGGAGGTAAAACATCTATGACAATGAAACATGACATTATGTCTGCGCCTCGGCTCTTTTTCTCTGATACTTCATTCGTTGAATTGCTTCTGGCTGTTCACTTTTTCGCATATTAGTTGGTATTCTCCACTGATTGTTGCGGCAATCATTCCTCCTTCCAAGGATAAATGGAGGACAATGTAACTTCTGGTTTTTGATTTAACTGATTTAGCATGCTTGTCATAAAGGAATGTGCAATAACGAATAACTCTTGATGAAGGTCCAGAATATGTAGTTAAAGAAATATCTCATGGCTATAGTGAAGGTGATGACATCTATTGATTGCTTGTGTAATGCATGTGCTAATGTCTATAATGTGTTATGCTTCTTATTGTGATATAAGGTTTACTACATTTGTTTCATGAAAATAAGAAGCAAGCAATAGGAACTCAAAAATCACACGTGCTCGTCTTAAAGACATTTTTATCTCCCAATCGCTTGTCATGCTAATCTTCTTATATGTAGCTTCTGTGATTACTCCTTTACAAATGCAAAGAACAGTTCTTATGGAAGTCCCCAACTCCTTTTACAACCAACATTATGGTTATTGATTTCATGCATTAATCTAAATCATGCTTCTGTAGGTTGGTAGACTTGCTGCATTAAACTCATTATTTAGGAGTGCTGGAGACTAATATTGTTCCTATCCCTCACCGCGCCTCGAGTCCGTGACCTTGAGATTTGATTCTCTTTCAAGACCAACCACAAGGCCAGCAAGAAGGCTGGTGCTGCAGACAAACATTACTCGGAGCGGCTCCGTATTCTCCAAAGAACGATTGAGGGGGAGATACTCTGTGGGAATGGTCAGGCTGCCTCACATACAGTGAAACAACGACTGCAATAGCTTTCTCCAGTTCCATATTTCAAAAGAGGAAGCAAAATTTTGAAGGATCTCCAAAGACGTCCAGCCGTCCCTAGAGGTGGCCTTATGGGACGGGTCTCGAAGCCGTCCTCTATGAGTTGGGCGACGGATTCCGCAATAGTCTCCCTTCTTCTCTTCAATGGCAAGCATAAAGGCGACGACAGCCGGTGAGCCGTCGGCAGTGATCATTAGGGATGGGTTTTAAAGCTTTTAGGGACGGGTTTGGCCCCCATCTCCCCTTTCTCATAGTGTCAGGACGACTCCGAAAAAGAAAATGACAGTTATAAATGTAACCATAAATAGAACTTGAATCGTTCTTGATATCTGTATTCTATCCAACACCAATGCATGTCGCTCAATAACAATGACTTCCAATCATTGGGCAAAGCAAGAGTACTACACTCCTGTTATTTCTGTTTCATGTAGACTCGGCACTAAGGGTGCGTTTGGTTCAGCTTTTTCAAATGGCTTTGAGCCTCTAAAGCGTCTTGAGAAAAAAAATTGGGGTGTCCGACAAATTATTTTGAAACCACTTTGGGGAAAAATGGGCTTCTGCAAAGCTAAAAGCCCAAGCTACATGACAATCCAACCTTTTATCTTTTTATATATCTCTGAGCAAATGAATTAAGCAAGGGAATTCTCTAGAAAGTACTCGCCACGCTCTCTTGTTTGGGAGCAATGCCTAGTAAAGAATATTTCGATCGTTAAAGTAATTAGGGACTTGAAAAATGCTAAGAAGGGACCCAGAGCGACGGAGACCTCCTGACCACACGTCCCGAGCGCGGGATTTTGGCAAACTGGAAAATCACTCTGACAAAATCAATTGCCAAAAGTGGCCCTCATGCTGTAAAACCACAAAAAGCAATGTATAAACGTAGATTACATGCAACAGTTGAAAAAGCAATGTATTGTTAGGAAACCGCACACTTTTTATTATTTTATAGCTTAGGAACGAAGTCCTCAATATCAAAAGAGAGAGACATCCTAAAGTTCAAACACATCCCATTACTCTACATGCAAGATGCAACAATTAATAAATAGGCAAACTTGTCCCTCGAGGCTTGACGATATTGTAAACGTAGATGGAGTATATATCCTACGTAAAGGTGAATATCTCTTTTTATAATTTTTCTTTAACAGTCATGTGAAGTTCAAATCAGATCTCGCGCGCGTGTACACACACATATATATTTTTATCTATATATATTTTATCTTGCTCTGGGAACTTCTACTTAATACGACTATGGAGAAAAACATTTGTTCAGGGTATATTTTGTAATGGAGTTTTCAACAAAGCCTAACAAAATTTCTAACTCACTTTTCTTTCATTTTGACCCCATTTGTTTAGATAATTTTAAAAGATAGGTCACATGATTTTTGAAGATTTAACTGCTAGACGTAAATAGAATCTATCAAACATTGTACTTGTCGGTCTAGTTCTTGGCCATGAGAATGCTATAGTTATTAGTTGAGTCAATAGGTTTTTTTTTTCTAGGTAAGCAGGGGGCTTGACCTCTACCGACTTATTGCATTTGTGCCAATTTAGTCTTAAACCTTTTAACCTAAAACCAATAGAGTATTTCTAGCTAATTTTGGCTGGATATTGCTGACGTAGACATTTTTTTAATAATATTTTAATAATTTTCCATCTTTTCTTTCATTTTTTTTGTCTTTCCCTCTCTCTTTTTTTTCCTTCTCTCCCCAATGGCCAGCACGGCCATGGCCGATGAGGGCTGGCCTCGCCTGAGTGAGGGTGGCCCTCGTCGGGGCAAGGGCGTCGCCTGGGCAAGGGTTGGCCTCGCCCTGGCCCAGGCGACACCCAGTTCATGGGTCATTGGCCAGATAGAACCGAGGTTTGGATTTGGCTTGATTGGGCTTAACCTGATTTGGAAGTTACATGATATGTCTCTTTCACGTAAGTGCCATTCAAATCACAAATCAATATATACGTAATTTGCACCTAAAAATTCATTTAATTTCCAGAATTTAAAGAACATTCACTATGACTACCAAATAAAAATTAATTACCATGGGTGCAATGAAAGTTATTTCCATTTAAGGAAAATTGACACTACTAAGCTTCTTTATTTGGTGTCCTCCACAGAAACCAATTTTCTTTGGAGTTAGCAAAAGTTTAAAGCTGATCTACAGTACTAAAGATTATATCAACTCCGTTATTTGTAGAGGTTTGTTGAATGAAACGAATTGGATTCTTGTAGGAAGCAGTTGAAAATTTTACTCTATAAAGATAAGAGTAAAGATATACCTTGCAGCTCCCCATCTATGATTAGGTCAAATTTCAACTAGAGTGGAATAAGCAAGTTTATGAACATTTAGTGTGGATGCACATACAATGCGTATGAAAAAAAGAGGGTAAAATCAGTTAATGTATATCTTATGTATAACTTGCTTGGAAGTAAATGGCGAGAATCAGGTGTTATAGAAGATTGATACAACATAGATGAGTAAAATACTTGTTGATAACATTGGCGCCGGGTATATAGAGAGATTGCAAGATAGAATTTCATAAATCTCAAGGGACTCGTTGAGTGACCAAACGCTGATAATGAACCAGCAGCTGAACAAGGCGATGAGCATGGTGGTGTTGCCCAGGGACGGCAGCTTGTGGAGACTCTATTTGGCCGGTTCTGGAGAAGGGAGGAGTAGATTCAGCAAGTAATTCAGCTTTCGGCGGTTGGACCGGTCTGACTGGTCTGAGCGTGGAGCTAAGTTGGACAAGTGGTTCTTCGGTAGAGTCCCACCGCTGTTGTTAAGAGCATCAACGTTGAGGTCGCCAAGGGTGGCGGCAGCCCGTGACGATGGAGGGAGCTTGAGTTCTCCGCTGGGCGGGACGGAGGGCGGCTATATTGAAAGGTGAACTGCCTCGCGCGCCGGTTTAACCGCCACTGAGCTCCCGTTCTTTTTTCCTCTACCAGAGCTGCAATGTTGACGGCTTTGTCAACTTGTAAATTGCAGATTCTTTATTTATTTTTTTCTTTTTTTTCCTTTTTCTTTTTTCATGTACTTTATTTTCCTTTTTTTTATGTTCTTTACGTAGTGCCCGTGAGGCGGGTGTAAGGCCAACTGACAAGTTAATGAAAAGAAAGACTAGGGTTTCCTCGCAAGCATGTGACGTCGATACAGTTGTGCTTGAGCTTGAGCCGAAGCTTAAGCTTGAACTAGTCTAGTTTTCAGAGTAACAACCTTTTTTGTGGTTGGTTTGCGAAGAGATTGTGTTTGGTACATCAAAATAATTTTAAAATCACTAATAAGGTTATGGTTTTGCTTAATTATAATCGAATGATTCTAGTGGACCGATGAAAGAAACTACTCTGGCTTTACTTTTGAAAGAACATTGACACGTGATTAAGGCCATTCGTGAACCTTCTTTTCCTAGTGAAAATTGTCGAAAATATCCTAAACATACTATACATCGGCTTATTCAGTTTTAAACTTTTCAATTTGGCCAACTTAGTCATAAATCTTTTAACAATATGGGAATGTGTCCTTCTTACCAATATTAGTCGAAAATCGTTGACGTGGTGGTGTCCGGTCAGCACTGACCGTCCTATGTGAATGATTTTTACAAATTCTTTTCTTTTTTTCTTTTCTTTTCATTTGTTTCCTTATTTCCTTTTGTCAATCGCCAGGCCTCGACGGTGGCCAATGAGGGTTACAAAGCCCCTCGCCAAAGGCCGATGAGGGCTGGTGAGGGCAATCCTTGCCTTTGGTCGGCAATGACGGAGGGAAACAGGAAAAAAAGAAAAAATAATAAATTTTAAAAAATTGCAAAAAATATCAACGTTAGTGTCAGTCGTGTCATGTAGTGGGATGACTGGCATCTACATCAACGATTTTTAGCTAACATTGGCTGGAATAATCGCGTTGGCAAATTGTTAAAATTTTTAAAACTAAATCAGCATTATAACTTTTTGCACAATTATCCCACTTTTCCTCTACCGCACCAAATCATGTATTTCGCAATAATACTCGTACATAAATTATGCAATTTTATCAGCGGCCGTGTAGTCTCTTCAAAGGTTTTCCCAGATGTCTGCATTTCCGCTGCTAAAGGAAGCAGGGGAAGTACATAAACAGTTCAAAAGAAACGGAGAAGATGGACCGAGTCCCGGCCGCGTTGTTGAACGGGTCAAGAGGCATGATTCGTTCGGACGGCATAAGGTAAGGGAGATCTTGATTTTGTCTTCAACTTTAGAGTATTCTCCGGATTCTTTTCTGTTTTCTGTTTCTTGAATTTCTATCACCAAGCAAACATTCGTCGAGTAAAGTCAAACTTCTCCTGGTACATTGTTCTTGTTACATCTCTTTTGCAATATCGATCATGTTATAATGTCTTCTTGGCCGGAGTCTATATTTGTACAAGATCGTTCATTTGGGACGGGTTGTAACTTATTGCAAGATGAACGAGGCGGCGATAACACGGTGCTTTCGATCGAATGTGACCATCTCACACCATAGCTTCTATATGATAATGTGATCAAATGTAGGTAGCTTGTTTCTTCATTAGTGATGAAACACATGTCGGAAATTCCTTCTTCGGTTACTACGATGTTGCTAGTTGGCGATGTGCACCTAGGTTCGGCTTTCTCTACGCCACCGCCGTACGGAATCAACCAAAACATGTTAAACGAACACAAATCTAACATTTGGGAGAGCAAATTTCCGTGTTTAGGGAGACACCAAAGGTCCTATGATCACCATTGAAGCTGGAGGTAGAGGACTTGTAAACGTATAAAGCACTGGGGCATTAAATCCCCGAAAACATATTAATTATACTCCTAGATTTAGATCGGAAGAAGATAACTTTTAGATCTCGAACTAGATTGGGAGAGTACAAACTCTCATATCTAAAACTAAATTGGGAGAAGGGAGCTCCTAGAATTAGATCGAGAGAAAAGAATAAATAAAAAAAGAACAAAAATACACAAACAAAATCAACAAGAGTGGGAAGGAAGGGTGAAACTGGCTCAATCTATCTCCCATGGCCGAAGGTTGAAGAAGACGATGGAGAGAGAAGAGAGAAAGGGAAGCGGGAGAGACAACTATTGTTGTGGGGAAATCAGATTTTTATGTGTTTCGTTAAATCATAAAGTTTTTTGCAACTTTCTTGGCAATCGGTTCTTTGATAAATGGATTTCGAGCAAAAGTTTGAGGTGAAACTACTCTACGTGAAGCAATGCAACTCAACTATAAATAAGATGGTAATTTTCAATTGATCTGAGTCACACTAGGGCTTTTTCCTTTCATTGATTTATTTCGCTACAGTTTTAATACCCATTTCATGTTTCTTCCTTCTCTTCTTCAATATGTTTATCAAATAATTTTACACCGAACTATGTAAAACACAATGCCCATTCAAATTCATGTTTCTGAGTTTTGTGCTTTAGTAAAGTTTGATTTATTGTCTGAAAAGCCGATACTTCCAATAGGTGATTGAATCTACAAGGTATTTTAAAAGAGGTCAATATGCAAAATTATGCTCTTATTCTGTTGCGATGTTGCGACCTATCATATTAGAGGGAAATAAATAATTCTGGGATCATTCCATGATTTTGTTTTTACTGATCATTTTTACGCAAGGATTTTCTAATAAAATATTGCCTGTACAGGTAGTTGAGAATATTATTAGGTAATGCTTAGGGTCATCTGACATCTTCTCTTCTTCATACTATCCATTTATATGCAATTCAAGAAGTCACAATATTTTTTTTTTTTGGAATTTCTGATAGAAAAATGGTATCTCATTTATGCATAACCTTCCTAATTTCGCAAACTATTCACCATCTATTTCTTATATCATACAGACATAAACATACATACACACTCCTTACCAAAAAAAACATACATGCCCACTATTTTACGAAATCCGTGCAAAGCACGGGAAGGAATATTAGTATAAATGATGATGTGATGGAAAGCGACCTGGAAAAAATAAAAATAAAAACTCAAGAAAGATATACACACAAGATATCAATCAATTTTTTACATTGGAAAGTTTGAAAAGAATAACTCGATGACATTATATCAGATCAAAGTAGATTCATTTACATGGAATTGTTGGCATGTGAGGCCAGCCTGGAATAAATAGAAGAGAACTAACAATGAACGTTTGCTTATGTCTACCTCCCATTTCCAGATTCATTTAGAATATGCTTATATTAAATCAAATTAAAATATAAAACCACATTCATAATCATTGTTAGGTCCTTTCTTCATGTATTCCACACATTTCTAGTTCCGCTCAACTCAATTATCAGATTTTAAATAAGTTATCGAATTTTGATTTTCATTAATTTAATAAGAACTGAACCCGTGCTTATATTTTTAAATGAATGCGATATGCTTGTACACAAATTCTAGTTCTTTATAGCCCAATTGAGAAATTAACGTCCACGTCATCCGTGAGGGGAACAAAGCCAACAAGTTTGACTTGACTTGAGGGCGAGACTCGCGAGAAAACATTGGGTACCCCGAGTGGTGCCAGGTCAGCAAAAAATAAGTCCATTCTTCGTGTGCCACGTGTCCCTCGCAGGCCCACCTGCAAGAAAAACCTGTTTCTCTTCTGCACTTGCTTTCTCTCCTCTCTGTCCTCTCTTCTCTCTCTTCACTGCGGTTTCTTCTTGGCTATGGCCGTTAACTCAAGTTCGACCTCCGCGTCCATGGCCGCTACAAGTTTTCAAATCAAGTGTCCGTGGCCACGAGACTCCGGGTCCAACTGCCATAGCCGCAAGCTCGAAGCTCCATCTACACGGCTTCCGAGCTTGAGCATCCATGGGCTCGAGTCGTCGCAACTCGGGCCGCCATGGCCGCCAGCTCAACAGATGGCAGCCATGGTCAAATGGTTGTGCTCGAGCTCGCACTCTAGGCTCGAACCCGAGCTCTGCGGCTATGGCGACGGCGAGACTCCGGATTGAGTATCCTTGGCCATAAGTCTCTAGATCTAGCGGCTATCGACGGGATTCCAAACTCGAGCAACCATGACCAGCCATGGCCGCAAGCTTGAAGCTCGAACATGCTCACAACCACGAGCTCGAGCTATGTGGCAATGGACGCCGAGATGTTGGGCTCAAGCTCAAGCTCCATGGCCATGGTGGCAGCAAAAAAGAGAGAAGAAAAGCGAGGAGAAAAATTGACTTGTTTTTTGCTGACCTGGTACCACTTGGGGTAGCCCAATATTTTCTCGAGACTCACGCCCTAAATTATCAAAATCATCTCCAGAAAAGCATCTTTCGCATCTCCAGAAAAGCATCTTCCGTTATTTATCAATCCCTTTATTCAGTATAAAAGCATCATTGTTTCCACTTCCCTCCTCAGATCGCGAAACGCAGCCTGTCTTCTTCATCTCCCATTCCACCCAAAGAGAAATGGAGCTCGCTTTCCGTCCCTCTCCAAATCCGCTCCGTTCTCCTTCTCCTTCCCCTCCACTTCCTTTCAACCTCCGTCCCAAGCGCTCCCGCCATGGACACCCCTTCCGAGTTCGCGCATCTTCCAATCCTGGCCCTCCATTTGGACTCCCCTCGCAGCATCTGTCCCGGTCGATTCGACGCGGCTCCCATCGGTTCTGGCTCAACTTCGGCGTCACAGTGAAGAAGGAAACTGGTTTCAACTTCGGCGTATCAGCGTCCAATCCTTCGTTTATCTCTCTGATACCTACAGGAGAAGGTAGTGATCAATACGACGTGTTCTTGAGCTTTAATGGCTCAGATACCCGCAAGGAATTCACTGATCACCTCTACCACAGTCTGGTCAACGTAGGGATTGTACGAATTCATGTGTTCAGGGACGAGAACAGTATCTCCATTGGCGAGGAATTTGGCTCAAAGATTCTCGATGCCATCTCACGATCGAAGATTTCGATCCCCATCATCTCCGAAAATTATGCTTCAAGGAAATGGTGCCTCCGTGAGCTCAGTCGTATCATGTACTGCAAGAAGAGCATGTCACACGTCGTTTTGCCCATTTTTTACAAAGTAGCCCCGTCGGATGTGCGCCATCTAGACGGAAAATTTGGAGAGGCCTTCCATTTGCATCAAAAGGATTTTGATGAGAAAGATATTGAGGAAGGGCAACGAGCACTCAAAGAAGTGAGTTACTTAAATGGATGGGAATCCAAGAAAATTGCTAACGGGTACTTTACTTCAACCTGATTTTTTTTTTCTTGTAAGTAACTTTTCTTATTCACGCAAATACGGTGAAGTATGGATGAACTACTTTCAGTACAAGCTCCGAAAGAATCCCAAAGTGTCCCAATGAACGACAAAAACTAGTACTCTCCAAGGTGTCCCCTGAAAACTAAACCAATAACAACTAAAACCAAAGAATCCCATAGTGCGCAAGAATTTTAGAATTGTCTCCGGTACAGAGCACAAAACAAAGACACGACAGCCCCTCCGCCCAATACCATCAATCACTTTACAATATGCCCCCAAAAGACTCCAATGCTCAGTCTTCCAAAGCTTGAACCACCAGATAAAAATGACCTATTGCCCACATGGGGTTGGATAAGTTGATAAGGATCAAACACTTGGCATGTCTAGGTTTAATTTCTCATTTTGTTTCGTTGTTTGACAGGCACGAGGGAGAACTGATAAAGCTTGTGGTCGAAACTGTTCTAAGCGAGTTACGGAAACATTTTCAGCTATATGTTCCTAAGCAACTAGTTGGACTTGATGGTCATCTGAAGGAAATTATGAATTGGATAGACAGTCCTTCCGTCAATGCTCGAATGCTTGGAATTTATGGCATGGGCGGGATAGGCAAGACCACTCTTGCCAAGTGCATCTACAATAAACTTTTGAAAAAATTTGTGCATGCCAGCTTCCTTCCAGATATTCGAGAAACTACCCGTCGCCACGGTATTGAGTATCTACAGAGCCAACTAATATCTGATATATTACAGAGCCAAAATAAAGTATCTAAATTTGATGATGGAATTAACATAATCAAATCTAGATTCAAAGGAAAAAAGGTTCTCATTATTTTGGATGATATAGATAAGAAGGATCAACTAAATGCTTTGGCCAGAGAACGTAACTGGTTTACTTCGGGAAGTATTATCATTGTCACAACTAGAAATAAAGCTGTTCTTGATCAATCTGAATTCGAGGTAGACAACAAGTATGAATTGAATGAAATAGATGAGAATCATTCTTTGCTTTTATTTAACAGGCATGCATTTCGTATGGACTATCCTCCAAGGGAGTTTGAGGATATCTCTCATAATATCATATCCACCATGGGTGGCCTTCCCTTGGCTCTTGAGGTTACAGGTTCATACTTGTATGGTAAAACAGATCCAAAAGTATGGGAGGATATGTTGAGGAAATTAAAAAAAGAGCCACATAGAGATGTTGAAAAGATATTGAAAATAAGTTACGACGCATTAGAGAATGCACATAAGGAGATTTTTCTCGATATTGCTTGTTTCCTTATTGGCAAAGAGAGCAAATTCGCCATTTACATGTGGGAGGACTGTGGGTTTTATGCAAGTTTAGGAATTGAAGAGTTGAAGCTGAGGTGCTTAATAAAAATTGACAATTATGGTGAGTTAAGAATGCATGATCAATTGAGAGATCTTGGAAGGAACATTATTCAAGAAGAAGGACCGCCTGAGAGACGTAGTAGGTTATGGCTCTATGAGGAAGCCTTCGAAGTACTAATGGGAGAAAAGGTAACATATATCACTCCTTTTTCTTTTCCTCTCCCTCGTATTTTCATATATTTAATTTGATCTACTCTAATCAGAAATGCTCCTGCATGTTAGGAAAAAATTCCATTCACGATTCATGTCCATCATAGAGTAATTATGACAGCTAATTTTATTAAACATGCAAGGATGAAAAAGCTGTATTATCTCGTGTGGTTACCAAATAGAATGTCATTCAAATTCATTGATGTAAGTTATATCTGTCAAAAATTTAATTTACAATAAATTTAATATCACTTAACTGCGATTCCACCGTAAAAATCCCATTTATTAAAAGTACGTAATTTTCATATTTTGTTGAAATCTTGATAATCTGAAAGACTATAATAAAAATTAGAGATGAAGTATAAACATTAGAGATCAAATAAATGAAGATTTCTTCATCCAAGATAATTATAGATAATAGGTGCCAATTATAATAACTAATAATCAGACAAAACATCACCATAGAAAAAAAGTGTCAAATTCACACTTATCACGTGTGCTTGTTTTCTGGTATGGCCGAATTTATTGTGGTGCTCCTATGATGTAGGAAACCAATGTTTGATATGTTGTTTCTCCGTTTTGATTTTGAAGATATCCGCCCCTCCCTCTATTAATTATATTTATCTTCTTTCAATCTTCTTTCTTCTTAATAGATACAATAGCAAAATCCCCCTTAGAATTAAATTAAGAAAATCTTGATATTGTTTTTAAGGTAGTACAAGGTTAGCCTTGTTCATCTCATAGACCAGGTTAGGTGTATAATAAAGAGTGAACTTTTTTATTTCTTTTTCTTTGTTTCTTTCATTGCCATTGCCTTTTAAATTTTCTTAATGAACATTTCTTTCCTCTCAAGCTCTACATTGCCGCCCTCGCCCAAACGCTACCCCAAAATCCTACACTAATCCCTTCCCCCTCCGCCCCCCATTCTCCTCACTCACCTCGCATCACTATTGAGTTGAAATGACAAAACTTAAGATAAGGAGGGGAAGTTTGGATACATGTCGATATGAAATGACAAAACTTAAGATGTGAGTCGTAGATTTCAAAAGTAATGATGGTATTTTATATATAAGTGCAAACTTCATTTAGGTTTTTGTAATCATCTTTAAACTGAAATACAACACATATTAGAACTTACTGTCTCTTAGTATTTTCTTATTTTGAATTAAGTACACACACCAGTCTTACATAGTAGCCCTCACTTGATTTTCATTCAATTTTTTCGTTGACGAGAATGCCTACCAACCTGCCTTGAGAACTGTCGAACAAAAGCTAGGTTGATCGATTGCCCTGAACTTAAGGCGGTTAGACAGATCAACCGAGATCGTTCCTCACTCAAGCCCAAATTAAGTGCCTGAATGAGGCTTGGATGGAGTGCAAATTACACTGATTTAAATGCGAGAAAATGTAAAATGGATTGGAATTAAAATACAAGAAATGAAAAGACATAAAATTACATGAAACGAAAGTGTGAACAAAAATAACAAGGAAAATAAAAGATAGATTTCTCGAAGAAGTGTTGTGTTTGTGCGTGTCTGATTTTGCCTTTTGAACGCTTCTTTTATATTAATGCCTCTCGTCCACGGGAAAATTACCAAAAAGTCCTAAACCTATTACAAGTATGCTAGTTCAGTCCTAAACTTTTATTTTTGTGCCAATTGAGTCTAAACCTTTTGTATTTGTGTCAATTCAGTCTATTCGATCAATTTTGACCGAAAATCGCTGACATAGATACCGGCCGTCCAACGTGGCTTGGCCGGTACTAACGTGGACAATTTTTAAAATAAATTTTTAATTATTTATTTATTTTCTTTATTTTCTTTTTCCTTTTCTTTTCTTTCTCTTTCTTTTTTTTTTCTTCCCTTCTTCCTTTAGTTGGCGAGGTGGCAAAGCTCGCCCACCGGCCATTGGCGAGGGTGAGCCTTGCCGTTGCTGGCTACTAGCAAGGGCAAGCCTCACCCACCCTTGGCGAGGTCGAGCCTTGCCCAACCATGGCGAGGCCACCTCGCCAACCACTAGTGAGGCTTAACCCTCACAAGCTCGGCGATGGCGAGCCTTGCCCAACTATTCTGAGGCAGACCTAGCGATGCTCAACCCTTGCCAAGGGCAAGCGAGTTTGACCGTGCCAAATGACGATGAGGTCGAGCCTCACTAGTGGCCAGCCGAGGGGCGGGGGGGCTTTTCCAAAGGCCAATGAGGCCGACCTCGCCTACCCTCGCCTCTGGCCAGTTGTCAAGGTCCGGTGACTAGCTAAAGGAAGAAGTGAAGGAAAAAGAAAGAAAAGCAAAAAAATAAAAAATTCGAAAAAATATTAAAATATTATTAAAAATTGTTCTTGTCAGCGCCACCGTGCTAAGTAGGATGGTAGGCATGCATGTCAGTGATTGCCATTCAAATTTGATCGGATGGACTGAATTGATGCAAATGCAAATGGTTTAGGACTTAATTGGCAAAAACACAATTTATGATTGAATTGGCATAATTGTAATAGGTTTAGGACATTTTTGGTAATTTTTCCCTTGTCCACCGTTAGGTTTCTTATCACCTTATCAAATTGTGTGCTGAGAAGATTACAATTGGAAAACGTTCAAAGCTTGTTCACGATGCAATTTCACCACAAGGCCTGTGGCCTCATCTTCGCTGCAAAGCCTCCTCTTCCTCCTCCAAGTCCGAAGAGGTGGTCCCATCTTCGCCCATCTTTGGATTTCAAGGTCCTGAGCTGCGGCGACGAGAATTGAGCATCACGAAGGCGAACGAGAGAGCTCCGCTTCTCCGTGGAGAAGACAGAGCTTTTCTCTTTTAGCTCTAGAGGGTGAGTTTTATTTCATCTCACCGCACCCGTACACAAACACAAGAACATTTAGAAAATTTCTTTTTATTTTATTGTTATTTTTCTTTTGCCCTTTTACTTATCACACGAGGAAACACGAAACTGTCTCTCCAAGACAACCCCTCAACGCGTAATTCTTCTCCTCTTCCGAAACCCGACCAAACCCATCTCCCAATTTCTTTGACTTGCTCAGATCCACACCTCTTTTTACGTAAAACCAAACTCTTCTTCCAGTTTTCTATCTAAAATCATGATTTTCCGCTTCATTTATTTTGTTTGCATCAATTTGTGGATTCTTGAATCAGTTCTCGGTTGAACGCCGCGAGAATAACAGAGAAGAGTGTCTTTGGGAGAAAGAGAGAGACAGAGAGAGTTTTTACCCAACTTTTCATTAAGCATAGTTCACTTTGCCACGTTGGAGGGATAATTTTTCACGTTGGACTTCAATGTCTTTTGAAAAAGCCACGTCATAGTCAAATTTTAATTTTAAAAAAATGTAGGACAGCTCATCGGAAATTGTTGTTGGAGGTACTTAAGTAATCATTTTTCCATCAATGTGACACTTAAGTGCTTGTTCGAAATTTTAGCACTGAAGTGAGCATTGTACTAAAATTATGACACTTCTAGTTCTTTTTTTTTTTTTTCAAATTTTGTGCGTTTGAAATTAATGCTCTAGTTTTTAAAATTCTGAACCTTGAACATTATTGAACACTGTCCCTGATCAACTACACTTCTAGGGAAAAAAAAATATAAGTATTGTAAATTAAAGTCATCAAAGCCATATGGGATTTTTTCACCATCTTGTACTAATTAACGATCTATTTTATCAGGAAAGTAAAACAGTATGTTTTGACTTACAAGATGCAACTAGAAAGGGTGCCAATCTTATGCAAATGGACATTTGTATCTTCACTTTTTTTCTTGTTTGGTAAACAAAAATAAGTATATTTCTTCAGAAACTTTCATATCGACAACTTAGGATGCGCATGAATACCATTCTGTGCCCGAAAACTATTTCTGAACAGAAATAATTTTTTTTTATTCTGTGCCCGAAAACAATTTCTGAGTATTTGAAGGCGTTTGATAAACTGTCCAAAATTTCTATTCCTAGAGTAGAAAAGAACAGAAATGCGTTTAGTAACTACACAAAATTTCTGTTCCCAAATAATATTTTAATAATATTTTGAATTGTTTAATTTTTTTTCTTTCTACCCATTTTCTTCTTTGGCCATGGCCGGTCGCCGGCGACCGGCGGCCGGCGGTCAGCGACCGGCCACAGCCCAGGGCCGGCGAGGGCGAGGGCTGGACCCTCGCCGCTGGGCGGGCGGCCTCGCCCGAGACGGCGAGGCTCGGCCTCACCCGGATCTGGCGAGGCCGAGCCTCGCCGTCGCAACCCACGGCGGCCGACCTCGCCGTGGGTCGCGACGGCGAGGCTCGGCCTCGCTAGATCTGAGCGAGGCCGAGCCTCGCCGTCGCGACCCACGGCGAGGTCGGCCGCCGTGGGTTGCGACGGCGAGGCTCGGCCTCGCCGGATCCGGGTGAGGCCGAGCCTCGCCAGTCTCGGGCGAGGCCGCCTCGCCCTCGCCCTCGCCCTCGCCGGCGAGGGCGACCTCGCCTCCGCCGGTGGCCAGCAAGGGCCGTGACGCCATCGCCGGCCCTGGGCTGTGGCCGGCCGCCGATCGCCGGTAGCCAGCCCAGCCCAGCTCAGGGAAGAACAACACAAAAATAAGAAAAGAAAAAAAAGAAAAAGAAGAAAAAAAACTGATTCTCAAAATTGTGCCGAGAAACAAGAAGCAACTTTTTTATACTTCTTGTTTCTCTTCCAAAACTGTTTCTCGTCACAAATTTTTGAAAAAATGTGCCCGGGAACAAAAAGTTTACCAAACGCATTTCTGTTCCCAAACTAATTCTGGGAACAAAAGAACATAAATTTTCACTATTTGGCACGTTACCAAACGGGCCCTTATTGTCCCATATGTTAGAAACCTCAATCCAACCATAATACCACTAAAGGAATTTAAGTAGTTCATTTTTAGTTGGCCTGAAAGCAACTTTTTTCCAATCCTTGCCAAGATCTTAAATACTATTCAAATTATAAAAGATGTATTGCTAACACGTCACTTTTTACACATATTTTATGAGAAAAGTTGCAATTTCAAAAGCAATGATTAAACACTTCACAAGAGTAGTTAATGAATTTAGCGACTTAACAAGTGACCCATGGGCAGTTTTTAACAAATTCTTTAAAAAATTATGAAAATTCATATGAAACTTTATAAGTCAGCGTTTACATGTTTTTAAAGGTTCATGTATTTCGCTTATGTAAGTCAAAGCACATGCGCCACAAAATTCGAAAAAAGTAAAAGATAATATCTTGAGGTGCGTTTGTCATAGAATTTTTTAAAGCAAGATGTATTCTATTTATATTAATGATTATAAAAAATTAAGTTGGAGTTTAGGTGTCAATATTTATACAATGAGGATAGAAAGATGACAAATTGTGAGCGTCCAAGATCTTACAGAGCAAAGACAAGAAAATTAAAAACTAATTTGGACACTCGATTGATTGATTTGATATACAGGGAACAAAAAGGATCCAGGCAATTTGTCTCGGGGAAGACTTTTTCCGTCTCCAGACATACGCCATTCAAAAGTTAACAAACTTATGGAGATCATGTTTCCCTCAAAAGGGACGGGTAAGTCAGCGTTTACATGTTTTTAAAGGTTCATGTATTTCGCTTATATAAGTCAAAGCACATGCGCTACAAAATTCGAAAAAAGTAAAAGATAATATCTTGAGGTGCGTTTGTCATAGAATTTTTTAAAGCAAGATGTATTCTATTTATATTAATGATTATAAAAAATTAAGTTGGAGTTTAGGTGTCAATATTTATACAATGAGGATAGAAAGATGACAAATTGTGAGCGTCCAAGATCTTACAAAGCAAAGACTAAAAGATTAAAAACTAATTTGGACACTTGATTGATTGATTCGATAAACAGGGAACAAAAAGGATCCAGGCAATTTGTCCCGGGGAAGACTTTGGCCGTCTCCAGACATACACCAATAAACAGTTCAAAAACTTACGGAGCTTAAGGTTCCTTCAATTGGGACGGGCGGCTTTAATTGGAAACTTTAACAAAGTGTTTTCTGAATTAAGATGGCTTCACTGGTTTGGCATTGAAGAAACGGAAATATTGACAACCAATTTGCATCTACCAAAATTAGTGGTGCTACAGTTGTCAGAGAGCAAGATCACAGAAGATTGGAGAGGATGGAGTTCAATCATGGTACAATGGAAAAAAGACATCCTCTGTGATATTTTGTTTGTTTTGTTTTGTAGATCAACTAATTGTTTCACTGCTCATTCTCCTTTGTATAGGCGGCAAAGCAGCTAAAAATTCTCGACATTACATCTTGCGGTCGTTTAAGATGTACTCCTGATCTATCCGCTTTCACAAAGTTGGAGATTCTCATCTTGAATGGATGTCACATGTTGGAGCAAGTCCACCCTTCTATTGGCAAACTCAAGAACCTTGTTTCCTTGGACTTGGGTAGGTGTTCCGGCCTCAAGGAGCTACCTGGAGAAGTAGGTGAATTAGAAGAACTAAAAGAACTTAATTTACGCCATAGTCGTATTGCAAAGATACCCATGTCAATCGGTTCTTTGAGGAAGCTAGAGAAACTGACTGTTTGTTCGTCATTGAGAGAAATCCCCAGCTCGATTGGGAATCTTTCTTCTCTCCAACACCTTAACCTAGAGAGTTGTCACTCATTGATAGAACTCCCTAGCTCAATTGGGAATCTATCTTCTCTCCAACACCTTAACCTGGAGGGTTGTGCGTCATTGATAGAACTCCCTAGCTCGATTGGGAATCTATCTTCTCTCCAACACCTTAACCTAAAGGGCTGTGTGTCATTGAGAGAACTCCCTAGCTCGATTGGGATTCTTTCTTCTCTCCAACACCTTAACCTAGTGGGTTGTGAGTCATTGAGACAACTCCCTAGCTCGATTTGGAATCTTTCTTCTCTCTCACACCTTGATCTAGAGGGTTTATCATTGGGAGAACTTCCTAGCTCAATTGGGAATCTTTCTTCTCTCCAACGCCTTGTCCTAGAGGGCTGTGAGTCATTGAGAGAACTCCCTAGCTCGATTGGGAATCTATCTTCTCTCCAACACCTTAACCTAAAGGGCTGTGTGTCATTGAGAGAACTCCCTAGCGTGACTGGGAATCTTTCATCTCTCTCACACCTTGATCTAGAGGGTTTATCATTGGGAGAACTTCCTAGCTCGATTGGGAATCTTTCTTCTCTTACATACCTTAACCTAAGGAATTGTCGATCATTGCGAAAAATTTCTAGTTCGATTGGGAATCTTTCTTCTCTCCAATGCCTTGTCCTGGAGGGCTGTGAGTCATTGAGAGAACTCCCTAGCTCGATTGGGAATCTTTCTTCTCTCCAAAGCCTTGACCTAAAGGGTTGTGTATCATTGGGAGGACTCCCTAGCTCGATTGGGAATCTTTCTTCTCTCCAATACCTTGACCTAAAGGATTGTTGGTCATTGAGAGAAATCCCTAGCTCAATTGGGAATCTTTTTTCTCTCCAACACTTAGAACTATGGTGTTGTCGCTCATTGAGAGACATTCCTAACTCGATTGGGAATTTACAAGATTTGCAATGTCTAGACATTAGTTATTCCACGATCGAACATTTGCCCAGTGGTATTGGCAGGTTGAAAAATCTGCGGAGGCTAATTCTCAATTTTTGTCGTAATCTGAGAAGGAAAATTCCAAGTGAAATCGGTGAATTGTCTTCGCTCGAGATTCTCGAAATCACTCACGCTCCGATATATAACCTACCAGAAAGCGTCCAGAATCTTTCTTCTCTCCAACAACTTAACCTATGGAGCTGTAGCAACCTCCGGTCGTTGCCAGAGCCTCCTTCTGGCTTAACACATCTGACGGTCTCTTGCCACAGTTCCAGGTTGCCACAACTTTCGCACCTAATCCACCTTGAAGAACTTCGTCTTGAGGAATGCAATCTACTTGAAAACATCCCAGAGCTTCCCTCAAGACCCTTAAGACTTTATGTTGACTCATGTCATAAGCTGATGCCTAAGCTTGATGGATTCAAGTACTTGGAAGTGTTGTCAATAGTCAGATGCAATTCCATTGAAAGATTGGACATTTCACAATTAAATCGTCTGAAACGATTACACATTGAGTGTTGCGATAATCTAGTTGAAATTCAGGGCCATGATAATTTGGAGTGCTTGGAGACGATAGTTGTACGTTTCTGTAGGTCAATTCAAAGCCTGATCCTTCAAGAATTAAAATGTTTGAAGCTATTAAAGGCCAACTTTTGTGGCAATCTAGTCGAAATTCAAGGTCTTAATAGGGCGAAGTTCTTAGAGGTGTTGGATATCTCTAATTGTGGATCCATTGAAAGATTACCTCACCTATCATCCTTCGCAACCCTGAAAACATTGAAAATCGATGGGTGTTACAATTTACGTGATGTTGACAACCTCCACTGAAGCATGTACATAAGGGGTACAAATCTCTTGTAAAACTATCAAACCAGTCGAAATTTGAAAATTTAGAGTATTTCATGATGAGATATTTTCTTTGTGGTACGGAGATCCTGGGAATGAGAAATCAAAATCTCTAAAACATAGATATTGCAGGATGCGAATCAGTGTAGACTTTGCTAGATTTATCAGGGTGTGAGAAGTTGAAATATCTAGCGGTACAAGATTACAAGAAACTTCGTCAGCTACCGGGACTTGAAAAGTTGGATCCTAACTTATTTGGATATTTGGGGGTACGACTCATTGAAAACGATACCGGACTTACCAGAACAAAGGTCATTAGAAATTGTGGAAGAGTGAATATGGAGGTTACTTTGGAGATATTATATTGCAGTGATAATGATGTGATGAATCTTATACCCATATCACAATTGTTAGACGAGTCATGTTTCCTTAACAAGGTAAATAAGCAAAAAACTATCATTTTTCTTATGAGATTTTTTTTTGGTCAACATTTTTCTTCTGAGATTCATGACCTACTTTTCATCACTATCTTCTTTTGACAAAAAGGTTTTCCTTGACAGGGTTCCGTACTTTCCTAAACTCCTAGTCTTACATATTTGAAGGAGTGGGGGACTTGGTCGTAGGAACATAAATGACGCTTCAGCCAAGATCAAAATGCAGACCCAAATGTGGGTTTACGTATAGTAGAAGGCATTGGTCATCTAGTAAGATTCTTAATCCTTGAACAACTAATGTGAGTGAATAGAGTAGTACTTTTCTCGAAGATGTACTTTTCCCATAACGGGAAAAGTATCAAAAAAGTCATAAACCTTTTGCTTTGGTGCCAATTGAATCATAAACATTTTGTCTTTGTGTCAATTCAGTTCTTTCAGCTAATTTGAGATGGATTTTGCTAACGTGGACGCCGATCAACCAGCCACTGGCTACAGGCACTGACGTGGACAACTTTTAATAATATTTTAATATTTTTTTGAATTTTTATTTATTTTTTTCCTTTTTTCCTTTTCTTTTTTTTTCCCTCTCCTCTCCTTCCTCTAGCCGGTTGTCGGACCAGCCAAAGGAAGGGGTCAATCAAGTCAGAAAAGTCTTAAACCTTTTGCATTGGTGCCAATTGAGTCAAAAACCTTTTTTTGTTGCCAATTGAGTCCTAAGCCTTTTGTTTTTGTGTCAATTCAGTCATTCCGGCTAATTTTGGCAGGATTTTGCTGACGTGGACGCTGGCCGGCTTATTGGCACCAATGCAAAATGTTTAGGATTTTTCTAACACTTTGCCCTTTTTATAACCAATAGTCAAACTGTTGTTTTGAAAGATAATCAAGCAAGGTAAATTGGGGCTGCTTTTGTAACAGGTCCGGTTGGCCGAGATTATCATCAAAGGATTACTTTTGGACCTTGATTCAATGAGCTATATCGATGACCTTTTGCATAATTACGACAAATTTTTGCCCGTTCTACGAAACAAGCTGAGGCAAGGAGCTCAAGAGTTTGATAATGAGTTTGCATCCTGTTTGATCCTATTGTTGTCACGGAATCATTTTATCACGTGACTGATTTGGGTCTGGCTAACTTGGCCGAGGAAGTTCAAATTCCATACCAGAGATTGATCAATACGCAGATGAGGGATTTTGCAGAGGAAAGCATCAACAACAGTTAAGGGCCATCTTGCGTGCCAACCTTGAAGAGGCTTGTGGGACAGCTGGAGTGCCCTGAGGAAGTTTTGATGCTTGTGAAGATCCAATCACTTGATATGGTCTCAACAGCACGTGCGTGAATGATTCTGAATGTAGTTTTTTTCCATTGAATCTACTCTTGGTATGCTCATTAGGTTCTACCTCTTTGTTAATCAAGTACGTACCTGCTGATTTTTCTTTATTTTACCATAATGTGGAGTTGTTTGATGCGGTCGCATTCTAATGATATCACTCCGGAGCTCAATGAGGCTTTGTAGAGGGAGAAATGCATTGCCAGTCATACCTTGACTACGAAAAAGCAACTTGTTTGCTTATTCCTTATAAGCTGTGGAACTTCACCAGAAAATCAGTATAGAAGGATGCATGATGACTATCTCCTTCATTTTCTATCAGCTTATTAGTGTGATAATATCCTTTGCATGTTATTCGAATAGGTTTCTAATTTGATAAACTCAGTTCTCACGTATCCAGCATTGAATTTGTAAAGTTGAAATTCGTCTCCTAGCAAACCTTTCTGTATTGCTGATTTTGCTAACTGGATATTGGGAAATAACCAAGTAACAAGCGACATGTTTCTATTCTGTAGTTTAGGCACTTCAACTTTTCAGCATAATCTAATTGACATCAGTTGTGTTCCTAAACACAAAAAAGGAAAGTGTTGCTAATCTCTTACATCTCCCAAGTCTGTTGTTTTCTTTATCATCCGCTAGCTAATGAATTCTTTGTTGATTTTGGTCCAACTGCTAACTAATCAGAGACATCTCGAATGTGTGGCAAAATAAATCCCCAGATTTTGGGGTTGGTGCAAACGATGTTTAGGCATTTGTACCTTATCTTTCATGGGGAAAATTGTGTTGGTAGGATTTCAAGTATCTGGATTTATTGATAACTAGTCAATCCTATCCTTCTTGTGTAGATTCAAGCTCAATATAATGAGATATGGAGAAAGTCCCCAAACACAACAGGATGGAGATGCGGCAAGAATGATCTATTTTATGCGGCATTATGGAAAGGTGTTTCAAAGTTCTTTGCTATTGGCATTTATCATGTGCTCCATGTTGTTAATACTCTTCATAGGATTCTTGATATAAAGCGACCTCTTCTCATGTAGTGTAGTAGTCCTTTGCAAGCTTTGACATCTTGCTATTCTTTAGCAAAGGCCAAAACTCCAAATGCTTGCATGAAGACCGCATGTGCAGGTGGTTCTGTAAGTGAAGTAAAGCACAAAATCAAATTTTTTAACAAGATTACCGTTTAGACATCCACTTCAAGCTATTAGTTTGCGACTGGAGAGAAACTTTTTCGTTGAAAAAGTGAATGTCGTGGAATCAACAAATAATCTGTCAATTGCAGCCTAGAGGTTCAATGAAAACATTTCTAAGAAGACAGTAGTTTATCATGCGTAGGAATTTTGGACGCAAAACAGAAGTGTTCATTAGTGTATAATCATCTCTCTGATCCGATTATGTTGGAAAATTCATATATTGGATTTGGCAATCACTTTGATCATATAATCTCAAACTTGATTCATTTACCACATGATTCTATAAAGCGGAAGAGACACAACCATACTTTTTTCATACCTGAAACCAAATTTTCTTTGGGTTGGTTACAGTTGAAAGACTGATAGAAAATGCTAGAGAAAATTTTTGGAGGGTGAAAATAGCGCTTCCAAATCTAGTCATTTGGTTTGAACCAAAACTTTGAAGTGGTTAATACTCGGACTCTTCTACGCCAAAATTGTGGTCACCGCCATACATTCAAGTTTCAGTCATAGCAATTTTTTTGGGGCCCTCTTGAGGTAAAGCACGAGTGAGCTTCAATTCCTCGCTCTCTCTGTCTCTCACTCATGGCAAAGCAGAGACGTTAGCCCGGAGTCTTCCTTTGGAAGCTCAGCGAGTGGTCCTCCATTTCTCTGCTGTGACCTCCTTCCTCTTCAGCGACAGTTTCATTAACGGCTAGTTTTAGCAAATGTAGTACTACTTTTCTCGAAGCAATATTCTTTTAAAAGAAAAATCTTCTCCACACTGGGTATCTATATGATTGATTTTAGAAACTCCGGATTTGCCTATGTATACTTGCTGTTGATTGCATTGTAGCAATGTTTTGTCATTTATCCCTCCATTGCCTGCTTTTGCGGACTGCAAACAGATTATCGGCTTGTGAGGCAAGGAAAATATCAGCATAGGTTACCTAGTGATTTACTCTTGGAAAATCGAGGATTTGAATTTTTTTTATATAGAGGCTGATGATGTTCTGCTACTCATTATTGTAAACTGCGCCCAGAATCCATTTTTCACTCTGTCCAAAATTAATATTACCTTTAAAAATTCCTTGGGCTGATGACGTTTTGCATAGCTGGGACAATTATTTGCCTGTTTCGTGAAACACGCTAGGCCGAGGAGCTAAGAATTTGCTTATTACTTAGCATCCCGTTTGATCCCATTGTTGTCCTGGAATTGTTTTATCACATGATTGATCTGGGTGTGGCTTAAGTGGCTGTGGAACTTCAAATTCCATACCAGAGAACGATCAAAATGAAGAAGAGGGATTTTGCAAAAGGAAGCATCAGCAAGAGCTGAGGGCCATCTTGCATGCTAACCTTCAAGAGGCTCATGGGCCAATTGGAGTGTCTTAGGAAGTTTTGGTGCTTGTGAAGATCCAAACAATTGATTTGGTCTCATCAGCACATACCTGAATGATTGTGCAGGTAGTTTTTTTTTTTTAATTGAATCTGCTTTCTGAATGCTCCCTAGGTTTTACCTCTGTTAATCAAATATATACCTGCTGATTTTTCTGTTTGTCACTCTAGTTCAGAGTTGTTTGATGCAGTTGTGTTCTAATGATATCACTCCCGGACTCAATGAGGCTCTGCAGAGGGAGGTATGCGCTGCCAGTTGCACCTTTACCATGAAAGACTAACTTGTGTGCTTATACTGTATGAGCTGTGGAATATCTTCTGAAAATCAGTATACAACACGATGACAATCTCCTTCATTTTCTGTCAGTTTATTAGTGTGATAATATCCTTTGAAGGTTGCCATATAGGCTTCAGATTTGATAAGCTCAGCTCTCATGTATGCGGCATTGAATTTGTCAAGTTCAAATTCGCCTCCTAACAAACTATGCCTTATTGCTGATTTTTCTAATTGGATATTGCGAAATAACCGAGTAACAAGCTCATCTATCCGTTCTGTAGTTTAGGCAGTTCACTTTTTCAGCATAATCTTATTAACATCAGCTCTGTTCCTAAACACTAACAAGGAAAGTGTCAGTAATTGCTTACTTCTCCCAAGTCTGGTTGTTTTCTTTTTCATCGGCCTGCTAATGAAGTCTCTGTTGATTGCAGTTCAACTGAGAACTAATTAGAGACACCTGGAATGCGTGGCAAGATATGTTTCCAGATTTTTCAAGTTCCTCCATTTTTAGAATTTGTAAGTCCAGCGTGTAATTTTTGTGTGCTTCTCGTGTTTTGTATGGTATTTTGAAGCCGGATTGTGCAACTGAAATTTGCTTCCTTGCATATCTTGTGACGTCTGCGATGACCGTGACCGCTGAATGATGGTCAGAAATCAGAAGAGACTCACGGTTTGCCTATGACTTGCACAAGTTGGAACCCTGAATCTTCCCCGTGGGTTACTTGTCTGTGGAGTTTCTTGGTTTTTTTTTCACTAAACCTGTCTTAAAAATGTGAAACCTCCTCTGTTCTCTGGTATTAAAATAAGTGGGAATGACAGTTCATTCTCTTACAATTTTTTTTGGGAGCATCCTCTCGCACCATTATTAATAGCAAATATATTTATTGTGCTAATTAAGAAGGAGCTATTTGATGTTCTTTTCCTTTCGTGCTTGTCCTCATCATAATGACATGCTTCAACATGTTTGTTTTGCGGAGGAGTTGAAATTGTTGTCAAGGCCCTTAGAGCTTATGTAGGTTAGTTCTTGCATTTTGCAAGTCTTGTACATTGTAGGTTAAAGAGAGACTTCTTTAAGTCCGAGTTAGAGGGTAATAGGTCCTCTACTTGTACAATGGGTCTCTCTGTGAGCACTTGTGTAAAACACGATATCATGAATAGAATAAGGGGAATTTAGATCCTTAAATTTACTCCTTGTGAGTAGAATTTGGAGCATGTTGCTCTCAGACTGAGTAATCCTCCAAATGATAGGTTTATAGCGACCATTCTGCCAATCACTTCAAGATATTTCCATTTAATGTCAAGAACCTGCTGTTGCACTTGGACTGGCAGTAGAATGATTTTCGCAAACTTTTATGCATAACCTAAAGATCCTTTCTTCTGTCACCATGCTTTGAGCTCATTTTTCTCCTAACCCTTTGTTTTGCGATATCCATCTAAGGTTCCTCCTGGATGATCTATCTGGATCTAGATAAGGCATCTGTTGGAGGTGAACACGAATTCTTTTTCTTGTAGATAAGGTATCTTCTTGACTGATTGAGATAGATACACATTTTTCCAATTTTGCAGTCAATCCTTCTAATCTTATCTCTACTCATTCTATATAGAACATGCAGGGCCACTAGAGTCTCCGTGGAGCCAATTTTCTTTGTGTCAGTCATCGTTGTGGCGATGACGATCGATTCTCATGAGTAGGTGAAGTTATGCTTTGCTTCGCTTTCAATCTATATTTTGGAACAACATTTTCTCTGTCTAACCGCATTGCATTTGTCTCCAATGTTGAATTTATTTATGGAAGTACTTTACTCTTTCTCATTTTGGTGAAATTTTTGTCGTGAATATTTGACAATGCAGTGTTGGTGGTGAAAGAAAATGGAAGTTGGAGCAGAATTTGCCATTGTTCAGGAGTTTTAATGTTTGCGAGTGACTTCAGGATATATATTTCACTGAGCTTAAAAATTGGAAAACTCCGGATGAAGCTCAGCTAGGGATCAATCTTGCTAGCTGAGCTTAAATTGCTCAAAGTCAGAAGAATTCTCTCGACTAAAGTCATTCTTTAATCTGCACTTCTTTGCTATTGCTGAGGACTTCATTTATTTTTGGAGGACCTACTATAGCAGTGGATGGCATATTTATATCATCACAGGAGGTAAAACATCTATGACAATGAAACATGACATTATGTCTGCGCCTCGGCTCTTTTTCTCTGATACTTCATTCGTTGAATTGCTTCTGGCTGTTCACTTTTTCGCATATTATTAGTTGGTATTCTCCACTGATTGTTGCGGCAATCATTCCTACTTCCAAGGATAAATGGAGGACAATGTAACTTCTGGTTTTTGATGTAACTGATTTAGCATGCTTGTCATAAAGGAATGTGCAATAACGAATAACTCTTGATGAAGGTCCAGAATATGTAGTTAAAGAAATATCTCATGGCTATAGTGAAGGTGATGACATCTATTGATTGCTTGTGTAATGCATGTGCTAATGTCTATAATGTGTTATGCTTCTTATTGTGATATAAGGTTTACTACATTTGTTTCATGAAAACAAGAAGCAAGCAATAGGAACTCAAAAATCACACGTGCTCGTCTTAAAGACATTTTTATCTCCCACTCGCTTGTCATGCTAATCTTCTTATATGTTGCTTCTGTGATTACTCCTTTAGAACTGTAAAGAACAGTTCTTATGGAAGTCCCCGACTCCTTTTACAACCAACATTTTGGTTATTGATTTCATGCATTAATCTAAATTATGCTTCTGTAGGTTGGTAGACTTGCTGCATTAAACTCGTTATTTAGGAATGCTGGAGACTTATATTGTTCCAATCCCTCACCGCGCCTCGAGTCCGTGACCTTGAGATTTGATTCTCTTTCAAGACCAACCACAAGGCCAGCAAGAAGGCTGGTGCTGCAGACAAACATTACTCGGAGCGGCTCCGTATTCTCCAAAGAACGATTGAAGGGGAGATACTCTGTGGGAATGGTCAGGCTGCCTCACATACAGTGAAACAACGACTGCAATAGCTTTCTCCAGTTCCATATTTCAAAAGAGGAATCAAATTTTGAAGGATCTCCAAAGACGTCCAGCCGTCCCTAGAGGTGGTCTTATGGGACGGGTCTTGAAGCCGTCCTCTATGAGTTGGGCGACGGATTCCGCAATAGTCTCCCTTCTTCTCTTCAATGGCAAGCATATAGGCGACAACAGCCGGTGAGCCGTCGGCAGTGATCATTAGGGATGGGTTTTAAAGCTTTTAGGGACGGGTTCGGGCCCCATCTCCTCTTTCTCGTAGTGTCAGGACGACTCCAAAAAAGAAAATGACAGTTATAAATGTAACCGTAAATAGAACTTGAATCATTCTTGATATCTGTATTCTATCCAACCCCAATGCATGTCGCTCAATAACAACAACTTCCAATCACTGGGCAAAGCAAGAGCACTACACTCCTGTTATTTCTGTTTCATTTAGACTCGGCACTAAGGGTGCGTTTGGTTCAGCTTTTTCAAATGGCTTTGAGCCTCTAAAGCGTCTTGAGAAAAAAAATTGAGGTGTCCGGCAAATTATTTTAAAACCACTTTGGGGAAAAATGGGCTTCCGCGAAGCTAAAAGCCCAAGCTACTTGACAATCCAACCTTTTATCTTTTTATATATCTCTGAGCAAATGAATTAAGTAAGGGAATTCTCTAGAAAGTACTCGCCACGCTCTCTTGTTTGGGAGCAATGCTTAGTAAAGAATATTTCGATCGTTAAAGTAATTAAGGACTTGAAAAATGCTAAGAAGGGACCCAGAGCGACGGAGACCTCCTGACCACACGTCCCGAGCGTGGGATTTTGGCAACTGGAAAATCACACTGACAAAATCAATTGCCAAAAGTGGCCCTCATGCTGTAAAACCACAAAAAGCAATGTATAAACGTAGATTACATGCAACAGTAGAAAAAGCAATGCATTGTTAGGAAACCGCACACTTTTTGTTATTTTATAGCTTAGGAACGAAGTCCTCAATATCAAAAGAGAGAGACATCCTAAAGTTCAAACACATCCCATTACTCTACATGCAAGATGCAACAATTAATATATAGACCAACTTGTCCCTCGTGGCTTGACGATAGCGTAAACGTAGACGGAGTATATATCCTACGTAATGGTGAATATCTCTTCTTCTAATTTTTGTTTAACAGTCAAATGAAGTTCGAATCAGATCTCGCGCACATATATATCTATATATATATATATATATATATATATATATATATATATAATCTTGCTCTGGGAACTTCTACTTAATACGATTATGGAGAAAAACATTTGTTTAGGGTATATTTTGTAATAGAGTTTTCAACAAAGCCTAACAAAATTTCTAAGTCACTTTTCTTTCATTTTGACCCCATTTGTTTTGATAATTTTAAAAGATAGGTCACATGATTTTTGAAGATTTAACTGCTAGACGTGACTTGTCAGTCTAGTTCTTGAGCATGAGAATGCTATAGTTATTATTTGAGTCAATAGGTTTTTTTTTTCTAGGTAAGCAGGGGGCTTGACCTCTATCGACTTATTGGATTTGTGCCAATTTAGTCCTAAATATTTTAACCTAGAGCCAACATAGTCCTTCTAGCTAATTTTAGCTTGATATTGCTGACGTAGATATTTTTTAATAATATTTTAATAATTTTCCATCTTTTCTTTTGTTTTTTTTCATCTTTCCCCCTCTTTTTTTGTTTCCTTCTCTCCCCAGTGGCCAGCACGGCCATGGCCGATGAGGGCTGGCCTTGCCTGAGTGAGGGCGGCCCTCACCGGGGCAAGGGCATCGCCTGGGCAAGGGTTGGCCTCGCCAGGGCCTCGCCCTGGCCCAGGCAACGCCCAGTTCATGGGTCATTGGCCAGATAGAACCGAGGTTTGGATTTGGCTTGATTGGGCTTGACTTGATTTGGAAGTTACACGATATGTCTCTTTCTCGTAAGTGCCATTCAAATCACAAATCAATATATACGTCATTTGCACCTAAAAATTCATTTAATTTCCAGAGTTTAAAGAACATTCACTATGACTACCAAATAAAAATTAATTACCGTGGGGTGCAATGAAAGTTATTTCCAATTAAGGAAAATTGACACTACTAAGCTTCTTTATTTGGTGTCCTCCACAAAAACCAATTTTCTTTGGAGTTAGCAAAAGTTTAAGGCTGATCTACAGTAATAAAGATTATATCAACTCCCTTATTTGTAGAGGTTTGTTGAATGAAACGAATTGGATTCTTATAGGAAGCAGTTGAAAATTTTACTCTATAAAGATAAGAGTAAAGATATACCTTGCAGCTCCCCATCTATGATTAGGTCAAATTTCAACTAGAGTGGAATAAGCAAGTTTATGAACATTTAGTGTGGATGCACATACAATGCGTATGAAAAAAGAAGGGTAAAATCAGTTAATGTATATCTTATGTACAAATTGCTTGGAAGTAAATGGCGAGAATCGGGTCTTATAGAAGATTGATACAACATAGATGAGTAAAATACTTACTGATAACATTGGCGCTGGGTATATAGAGAGATTGCGAGATAGAATTTCATAAATCTCAAGGGACTCGTTGAGTGACCAAACGCTGATAATGAACCAGCAGCTGAACAAGGCGATGAGCATGGTGGTGTTGCCCGGGGAAGGTAGCTTTTGGAGACTCTATTGGGCCGGTTCTGGAGAAGGTAGGAGTAGATTCAGCAAGTACTTCAGCTTTCGGCGGTTGGACCGGTCTGACTGGTCTGAGCGTGGAGCTAAGTTGGACAGGTGGTTCTTCAGTAGAGTCCCGCCGCTGTTGTTAAGAGCATCAACGTTGAGGTCGCCAAGGGTGGCGGCAGCCCGTGACGACGGAGGAAGCTTGAGTTCTCTGCTGGGCGGGACGGAGGGTGGCTATATTGAAAGGTGAACCGCCTCGCGCACCGGTTTAATTGCCACTAGGCTCCATTCTTTTTTCCTATACCGCAGCTGCAACATTGACGGCTTTGTCAATTTTGTAAAATGCAGATTCTTTAGGTTTTTTACTGTCGGTTTTTTTTTTCATGTATTTTATATTCCTTTTTCATGTTCATTACAGTGCCCGGTGAGTTGGGGGTATGGCCAAATGCCAAGTAAATGAAAAGAAGACTAGGGTTCTCTCGTACGCATCCAAGATCGATGCGGTTGATCTTGAGCTAAGCTTGAACTAGGCTAGTTTTAGAGTAATATCCTTTGTAGTTAATTATCAAGAAATTATGTTAGATATTACATCAAAGTACATTGAAAATCACTAATCAGGTTATTGTTTTGCTTACCTAATTGAACGATTCTAGTGGAACAATGAAAAAAAGACGACTTTAGCTTTACTCTCGAAAGAACATTAACATTATTACGTCGTTATTACGTGACTAAAGATATTTGATACACGGATAGTTTTGTCTTTTAGTAAAATTGAAATCAAACAAAAAGAAGGAAAAAAACATGTAACAAATAATCTTAAATGAAGCGCAGGATCCGCAATGAATAATGTGGTCAATTCAAGACTGATCAGAGGTGCCGGAAATAAAAAATAAGTGAAAAAAGTGCGAGCCTGATATTAATTAGGGAAAAATATTTTTAGGAGCTAACAGCGTTATGGAATTTTAAATTCATATCCAGGTCAAGTACTAGACACATGTCGGAGGAGCGTCATTGGGGATCTCAAATATTCTGCGAGGCATCAATCGAATTCGACATGTGGCTCCACATGTGTCCCACATCACATGTAAACGCTATCACCCCGCGTCTTTCTTTGACGCGCGAGGTCTCCTGTCCTGATAAATGGAGGAAAGGCACGTGGCAAGTAATAGTATATACCGAATCCCACTTGAATATTGTAATGGTAAATTACAGTTAAAATGTGAAAAAAGAAAAAAAGATCAGTTATTTCCTGCGTTTTTGAAAGCTAATCGGATCTTGTCATGCCTAACTTCTCATCGATCAAATATCGACCACTACATTTAGTGCTCATTCTCGAACACTTACAAGGTATAGTAAGATATCAAACAAAAGATATCAAACAAAAGACATCGCCAGATGATCTCAATCTATATGGTTCAAAATCCTTTTTTTTTAGAAGGGTATAAGATGAATCTTGAAGTTCTTCTTTGGATTCAAATCATTCGGTCCTCACATGGTGCGAGAGATCACAAAGGTTCAATTTGTTACACGGAAAGATGCAGGTCAAAAGAGCATCAGAAAATTGGCAAATGATAGGCAACTTCCTAAAGTAGGTAGCGTGATTGTGAACACTCTCACCTCCTCTCTCTCTCTCTCTCTCTCTCTCTCTCTCTCTTTTTGCTGCAAAAGGAGCACTCTTTGCCTTTTGCTCTATCCCTTTCCTCGCAGCTGATGATTTTCAATTGCCAAAGTTTATTCAAAGAAGATGAGTTCCCGGCTTTTTGGGTGGGACCGAACCGGACTCATGGAGAATGGCTTACCCTGATCTTGTACCCTATGATCTCGCCACATGGTAATATCCTACCACAACACCAGCTCCTTTTACAAAAGCAACGAGGACGGACTTAGGAGAGGCGACTAGAGAGAGAGAGAAGGGACCACATGCGTGTCGGTAAATTTAGTAAGGACGTTCCTCCGATTCGTGTCTCGCATTGGTTGGCCTGTCAAGTCGATCAATGTAATTCAAGACTGTCGTCTACTAATTGGTACTCACACTCTCTCATTTCTCACTTTCTCCCATCTCCCACATTCGGCCTCTCTCCCGCAGAACAACTCGAGACTATCGTCTGCTGGTTAGTCCTCGCTCGCTCTCTTTGTTCTTCTCCTCATCGCCGAGGCTTTGTTTAGGGTCTCCTCTGCTCGATCTACCGCCTCTCTTCGCATCTCAGCTCGCGGAAGGTAATCCCATTTTCATCTCTTATTAGCGTAGCGTGTCGTTTATGTTTGTCGCGACCGAACTCCCGAGCCCTTTTTTAAACGACATGCAAAAAAGGGGGGCTCGCCTGGTACGTGCTAAGTCTAGGTTCGGGACTTAACTCGGGCTCTCCCAAGCCCATACCATATCGCGACTTAGGGTTTAAGTGTTTAACATGCAAGTGGTTTATATCAAGGAGTCGCCACTAATCGATTTGGGGTGGGCCGATTAGAAACCCAAATAGGGTGATGGGAGAATCACCCTATTCCTACGAACCAGTGATTAACTAAATTCGGGGACTTGGTTACACTAGTTGGATAACTAATGCCCTTTCGGTACCATTTTACCCTATTCATTTCTGAAAACATTTGTCAGGCAATTTGGATTGA